AGCTTCCAGACAGACGGAGGAGGAGAATACACCTCTCAGCGGTTCAAGCAGTACCTGGCGGAAAGGGGAATCAAGCAGCTCATCTCCCTTCCCTACGCCCATCAGCAGCAAGGAGTAGCAGAAAGAATGAACAGGACCCTGCAGAACACCATGCGCAAACTGTTACGTGGCATGCGGCTACCCAACCACCAATGGCCTGCAGCAATGGACCATGCTGTCATGCTGCACAATTTGTTGTCGGCGTCATCACTTCCAAACAACACATCACCGCATCTGCTATGGACAGGGAAACAGGGCAGCACAAAAATGTTACAAGTTTTTGGGTGCATGGTACAGTACCGACCCCCAGCACCACGAGCGGGCCGATTTTCTCAACGAGCACAGTGGGGACTACACCTGGGCATCGAAAAGAACTACAACGCGTGGAAAATCTTCGACGTCCACTCCAAGGAAACAGTAGCAGCACGTGACGTAATTTTCTACGGACGGCTCACACTTCAGACGTACCTTGCCAACTTGCAAGAAAACGAAGATCCCACAGGTGGTCTCCGTGGTGACCGAGCCTTCGCCTCAGCAGCGGACGAAGCAGACTGGGACGAGCAGAATGTGGACAACGCAATAGAAGAAGCCGGACCTCTTCCGTTCTGCTCCGTCGACGTTCCCATGGACGAAGACAACCCTCACGAAAGTGCCAACGCTGAAACCTTCTACCACTTCGCCGACAACGTTTACGTAACACCTGCGACAGTCAACACCAACGAAGCAGAACGAGTAGGACCAAATTTCATACCTGATCCAGAAACGGGAGACGAAGCAGCTTATCCCGAGGATGTAAATCTTCCCCGCTACTCACAGAGTGGACTGCAGATCCTTGGGCTCGTTACCGCGGTCCACGGTTCCGTCGCTCCTAAAGAGCCTGCGACGGTTCAGCAGGCTCTGGGGGGGGGACATAAAGAAAAATGGCGCGAAGCCATGGACAAGGAGCTGAAGGCACTGGAGGAACGCAACACGTGGAAGGTGGCTCCTATCGGTGTGGCACGGAACAAGACAGTACTCACCGGGAAATGGGTCTTCCGTGTGAAGACAAAGGCCGATGGCACCATCAACAAATTCAAAGCACGCTGGGTCGTTCGTGGCTTCGACCAAGAGCACGGCCGCGACTTCACCGAAACATTCGCTCCAGTCAGCCGACACACCTCGCTACGCATCCTTCTCGCGATCGCCGCCATGAAGAAGAAGAACCTAAGGCAAATTGACGTCGCTAATGCATTCCTCTACGCACCCGTCGACGCCGAGATCTTCGTCGAGCTACCACATGGCTCCAGCACGGACTCGAAACACGTCTGTCAATTACTCAAGTCACTCTACGGCATCAAGCAAGCCCCGCGACTATGGCAACAATACCTACACGCTCGCCTCATTCGCATCGGCTTCAAGCAACTACCGCACGACCAGGGCATGTACCGGCTCTCGAAGGGTACCGACTACGTCCTGCTAATCGTCTATGTAGACGACCTACTCTACATTGGCTCAACCGAAGGCATTACAACCTGGTTCGAAGGGGAGCTACAGCAAGACCTCACACTCACGGTCTCACCTACCGTCACACAGTACCTCGGCCTCAACATCCGAGAAGAAGAAGACGCTATCTACCTCAGCGCCGCGAAATACGCCGACACCATCGCCAAGCGTTTCGCACTCACACCAACAGCTATCTCCACACCGTACCGCTACACGACAGTAAGCAACAAGAAGGCTCCGCTCTACTCAAGCCCGCCGGCATCCGCGACTACCAGAGAAAGCTGGGCTGTCTTCTCTTCGCAGCTGTCACCTGCCGCCCAGATCTATCCTACTCTGCAAGCCAGCTCGCCACCTACCTCAAGAGGCCTGAAACGGAACATCTGGCGGAGCTCGACCGCGCTCTTCACTACCTTGTCAGTACCCCGACGGTCGGACTAACTTATCATAAGAACGTGTCAAAACCTATATTTGTAACTGCCTGTAGCTGTAGTTAGTGTAGTTATTTAAATCTGTAGGTGGTGCACCTCTTCACTTGTTTCCTTTGCTATATGTACTTCAAAATCTATAGTGAATTCATTCTTCACAATTTTCTCTTCTCATCTCGAACTCGAACTTCTCCCTAGGCACAAAACCCGCTCGATACCTAAGTTGGGCCTAGGCTCCTAAGCCTAGGCCCTAGTTAAAACTTAGCTCACTCTCGCTTATTTCGACATGGTATTAGAGCCTGTTAAATCCAGGTCTGTGGGCCTGCCTCACGCTTCCGCTACTGTTTTTCTGGTCGCGCGCCTCGGACGCGTGGCGATTTTCGTCCCGTCCCACGCCCGGGTGGCGCGTGACGGTTTTTCTACCCGTCGCGGACCCGCCCCTGGCGCCCGCGGCGGTGCCCTTGGCCGTCGCGGACCCGCCTTTGGCGCCCGCGGCGGTGCACTTGGCGCCCGCGGACCCGCCTCTGGCGCCCGCGGCGGTGCCCTTTGCCGTCGCGGACCCGCCTTTGGCGCCCGCGGCGGTGCCCTTGGCGCCCGCGGACCCGGCTCTGGCGCCCGCGGCGATGCCCCTTGCCGTCGCGGACCCGCCTTTGGCGCCCGCGGACCCGCCTCTGGCGCCCGCGGCGGTGCCCTTGGCCGTCGCGGACCCGCCCTTGGCGCCCGCGGCGGTGCACTTGGCCGCCGCGCCCCTGGTGCCCGCGACGGTGCTCCTGCCTCACCCGTACCTGCGCTCGTGCACCCGCACCTGCCTTACCCACGCCTCCCCTCGTGCAGCCGTGGGGGGGAGGGTATGGGGGTGGCGGGTGTGGGGTGATGGGTGGTTCCTTCCCTTCCCCTCCTCCTCCTTTCGTTCCCATTGCTGCAGCTGCCGCTGGGGAGGAGGGTGTGGGGGAGCCGGGGTGGCGGGTGTGAGGCAACACGCAGCCGTCCCTCCATCTCTCCTCTCTTCCCCCCTTCTCTGCTGCTCCTGCAGCAGTGTGGGGGAGGGGAAGGAGGAGGGTGAGGAGATGGAGGGGGTGACCACCTAGTGTCAGCCCGCCTACATTACCTGCTGTTGCTTGCTTTTTATTGTTTTGCATGTGTACACCTGTTGGTTGTATTCTGCACATACTCCTGCTGCAGGCAGTTATGGGGGAGTGTGAAAACCTATATTTGTAACTGCCTGTAGCTGTAGTTAGTGTAGTTATTTAAATCTGTAGGTGGTGCACCTCTTCACTTGTTTCCTTTGCTATATGTACTTCAAAATCTATAGTGAATTCATTCTTCACAATTTTCTCTTCTCATCTCGAACTCGAACTTCTCCCTAGGCACAAAACCCGCTCGATACCTAAGTTGGGCCTAGGCTCCTAAGCCTAGGCCCTAGTTAAAACTTAGCTCACTCTCGCTTATTTCGACAGAACGCAACTACAACGCCTAAGCTAATCGGCTACGTTGACGCAGACCACGCAGGCGACCCCGACAACAGGCGATCACGCACCGGCTACATCTACCGTCTCGAGCCCATCGGGCCTATCTCCTGGCAATCGAGCAAGCAAGAACTAATTGCTCTCTCGTCAGCTGAAGCAGAATATATTGCACTCTGCTCAGCCACCAAGGAAGGACTCTACCTTCGCGAGCTGCTGGAAGAAGCGAAGTTAGCCGAGTTACACAACTTCACCCTGTTCTACGACAACCAGTCGGCAATTCGCATCGCCAACAAGAACGGCTTCACGAACAGGACGAAACACATCGCCCTACGATATTTCTTCGTGAAGGACGAGATCGAAAAGGGAAGGCTTGAGCTGTCATACTGCCCCACATCCGAGATGGCAGCTGATTATCTGACCAAGAAGCTTGGAAAACAGAAGTTCGAATATTGCATGCTGCTGACTGGACAGAGCCACGTCAGCGACACTCCAGAAGCAAAGGGGAGTGTTGGAAACAATCGTTCCTAAGCGCCTCTGTCGTGTCAAAACACTAAGGCACAAGCGAAGCAGAGCATATCGAGGCACCAGCGAGTCAACCCTCGGAGGTTGAAGTAACCGCTGGAGGTTACGCGAAAGTCAAAGGTCAGCGAACTTTGATCTGACAAATACAGCGCAACAGCAAGGACACACAACTGACTCGTTACAGAGCAGTTGCCCGAGTCGTCACTGTATCGAACCGCAACAGCAACAGTAAAGTGGTTATAACTGTGTCTCTTCATATTCTCTGTATTCATATATAATCCTGTATCTCTTTGCTTTAATCAAATTCACTTTGCCCTCACATACTAGCGCAAGGTGGTTCACAAACTCTTTATTAGACGTTTCCGCTATTACATCAACTCTACCCAGAATTCACCTCTGCAAAGATCCTAAGGGCTTTTTCAGCCCAACAAAAGGTCGCTGACCTTTGACTTTCGCGTAACCTCCAGCAATTACTTCAACCCCCGAGGGTTGACTCGCTGGTGCCTCGATATGCTTCGCTTCGCTTGTGCCTTGGTTTTTCGACACGACAGAGGCGCTTAAGCTCGATTGTTTCCAACACTATGAACATGTGCCACATGACTATTGAATGTTTTACAAAAAAATGAGGGGGTGGTCACAAATGGGTAAAATAATAGTATAGCACCCGGGTGAAAATACATAGACACATGTAAATGTATTTCAGTGACACCCGGGTGACTTATAGCAAGGTTTCCACTTTAGCAAGCAGAATGGATGTGAGTGAAAGCACCGCGTACAATTGTCACGAACAGTGCCACCACACTCGTGCCTTCGTGTACAACAGCCTATTTCCTTTCAGGCTTGGTGTTGGCTTGGCACACAGGAGTCTCCTGCCGCAGAAAAGGCAGCCCCCTTTTACGGCCCACTTGGAGATGGCCATTTACCTTTTCAAGACACTAGTAACACCATTGGGCCATGGGCAGTAGCAGTTGAACGAGCCGCTCGCAGCTTAAGCAGCTGGTACTGCAGCCACAGCCACAGCCACTCCTCCACCAGCAGCAGCAGCAGCAGCAGCTCTCTTCCTCCCATGCCACACCACCGCATGCCGTCGTTCACCTCACCACCACACCACACCACTACTGACCTCTTCCCCCATCCGCCCCTCCCACCCTGCCAGTACGTGCCTTCTTCCTTCCTGCCCCCTTGCCCACGGGCGTCTCAGGCAGCAGGTGCAGCTTCTGCCTTCGCCTCCTCCTCGGCTTGTCCTCCTCCTCCTCATCCTCCGCCTCCTCCGCTCCCCCCTGCCCCCCCTCCTCCCCCGCTTCCCCCCCCTGCTCGCCATACCCCCTCCTAGCTGCCGCACCCACCCTTCTACGACCACTGGCAGCAGCAGCAGCAGGGAGGAGACGCATAAGATCAGTGTCGTGAGTGGCAGGGAGAGGGAGTGGGAAGGAGGAGAGGGCAGCACCGCCTCCTCCACTGGCGTCCTCGAAGCTTCCACTGCGAGCTGGTGATGCTGCTAGGGATGAGGACGCTGATGCTGATGGGGATGGGGATGGAGAAGGTGGTGGTGATGGTGACGAAGGTGGTAGTGACGATGCTTTCCTGACACGTCTAAAACGTGGTTCGGGAGATGGGGACAGGGAAGGAGACACACGCGATGGCGGCGATGGGGAGCGCGAGTGAGAGTGCGAGCGAGAGTGTGAGTGAGAGTGCGAGGTATCCTCTCCATGCAAGTGTTGATGCTCAACCAATACAGCTTCGTCCTCCCTCTCCTCCTCCACCCCCTCGAGTTCACATGGATCCTTCTGCTTTGCGTTCTTCTCCTCTTCCCTCCGCTTTCGAGGAGGAGTGAGCACGGCATCTCTTCGCACGCCTGGCAGCACCACCGGCTCCATGGCTGTGGCGGTGCGTCTGCGCTTGCGTGGTGCTACCACCACCACCCTCTCCTCCTCCTCCTCCTCCTCCTCCTCCTCCTCCTCCTCCTCCTCCTCCTCCTCCTCCTCCTCCTCCTCCTCCTCCTCCTCCTCCTCCTCCTCCTCCTCCTCCTCCTCCTCCTCTCCCTCCTCTATTTCCTCCTCCTCCTCTTTCTCCTCTTCCTCTGCTTTCTCGTCCTCTGTCCACGCACCAAGCCCACGACCCATCGCCCTGTCTTGCCATCTCCCTGCATCCATATCTCTGCCCTTGCCTCCGTCCATACTTCTCTTACTCGCATTCCCCAAAGCACCTCCTCCTCCTCTGCCTCCTTCTCCTGCTGCTTCAGCAGAAAACGCATCCCCATCCTCGCTACAAGCAGCTCCACTGCTTGCCTTTGTTCCACTCGCCTCGTCTTGGCCTCTTCGAGCACCTCCCAGCCCCTCCAGTCCCTCCTCTCCCTCCGTCCCCTCTTCACCCTCCTCTGGGGGCTCCTCAGCCAGCTGAGCCAGGGAGAAGAGCATCAGAGCAGCCGTATCTTCCTTCCCGCTCACCCCTGCCCCTCCTGCCCCTCCTGCGCCTCCTGTCCCTTCCCCTGCTCCTCCTCCTCCTCCTCCTCCGCCTTTTCTGCTTCCTGCTGCTGCCAGCAACGGTGCAGCAGCAGCTGCAGCAGCGGCACTAAGGGGCGGTGTAGCTGAGGGATTGCCTGCCGTGCATGAGCAAGCACGTGGAGGGGAGGAGATAACAGGGGAAGGGGAGAAAAGGACACACGAGAGGAATACCATCATTAGTTGGCCTGCCACATACCACCTCTCTCGCATGCCACCTATTCAAAATCCAATCCCTCAAAAGCCACCAGGCACTAATTCCACCTCCCCTGAATCTCACCTTAAATTATCCTCACCCCTCAATACCCACCTCTCTTGCCAATCTTCTTGGAGCCTTTCGGCCGCCCACGGCCCTTCTTCACACCCCCAGACGCCTCCTCTCCCCCCCCACCCCTTGCACCCTCCCTTCCTTCCCCACCCCTTTCCTCTCCCAGCCCTCCCTCTGCACTCTCTTCCCCGTGGTCTATAGAAGGCACGAGGGGAGAGGCAAGGGGAGGTACGAGAGGTGAGGCGAGGGGGGGGGCGAGGGGAGACAGCCCTGCTGCTGCTCCGCCTGCCTTGGCGCGTTTCTTGCCTGTGTGATCCGCAGCAGCAGTGTGGGGGGCCCTGGCGCTGGCGCTGGCGTTACCACCGAGTCTGGGTGGTGTCGAAGTGGTATCGGCTGTAGCAGGAGGAGCTGGGCTCACAAGTGGCATGACTTTTACAGCAGGAGCAAGAGCAGAAGAAGGAATATGGGGAGGCAGACCAGAACTTGCAGGAGCATCAGCAGTAGGAGAAGCACCAGCAGCAGCACCTGTGGTTCTCTGGAGAACCCCAGAACCCCCAGCAGCCCCTGCCATTGGTGCTGCTGATGCTTTTGAAAATGGCACGCTGTGCTCCCTGCCCCGCTCCTTGAGCCCTTTCTTCCCCTCCCGCTTCTCCACTTTACCAGCATGCTTGCCTACCTTCACCCCACTCCCACCAACAGCAGCAGCAGCACCACCACTGCCACCCCCACCCCCAGCACTGCCACCAGCACCACCAGCACCCACACCTCCTCCATCTGCTGATCCTGCACTGGCTTGGTCCAGCAGAGCAGCCAAGTGCCCCAACATGCCTGCCCGCTCCTCCCTTGCAGCACAACCACCAGAACCACCACCAGCACTAACACAACTCGCAGAAGCGGCGGCAGTCGCTGCAGTTGCCGCTTCTCCCACCGCCACACTCGGTTTCGACACAACAAATCCCGGACCTTTCCCCTTCTTCTTCCCCACCTTCGCAGCGCTGCCAGATGCAGCATCAACCCCTGCGGCAACTACACCACCGCCCCCTGCAGCACTTCTCCCAACCCCTGCTGCTCCTAGTGCTGCTTCTCCAGCAACCCCCCCTGCTTTCCCTCCTGCACTCGCAGCACCCACCTTCCCTGCCCCTGCGCCCTCCCCCTTCCCCGCCCCGGCCAAACGCCCCTTGCCACCTGCTCGCTTGCTACCCGCTGCAGTGGCAGCAGCACGAGCGGGAGAAGCAGGGGTATCTGGAGCAGCAGAGGTGCTGTGCTTTCCTCCTCTGGGCACCCCCTTGGCAGTGAGCTCGTCTCGTGCACCGTGTGTGTGAGTGACAGTCGCACCACCGTGTGTGTGAGCGAGAGGCGGATCACTGAAAGAATCCCCTGGCAGGGCAGCAGTAGCAGCGGCAGCCATGGCAGCCAGAGCAGCCACTGCATCCTCCTCCTCCTCGCCCTCCACGGCTCCTGCTGCTGCTGCCCGTCCTCCTGCAGCCCCTACTGCTGCTGCCTCGCCCACTGCATGCGCCCCTCCTGTTACCCCTCCCACTGCTCCTACCGATACCGAGCCCAGAGCAGAGGGACCGAAAAGCCTGCCTCTGCTGCCCACCAGCAGCTCACCATGAGCCCACCTCCTCCCCTCATCGCCCCCCACGAGCCCCTTTCCCTCCCCAGCGCCCACCAGAGAGATCTTCATTCTCGGCCCCTCATCCGCTGCTGCCTCTCTGCTGCTTGCTGGGGCTGCAGCTGCTGCAGAGACGGCCCGGAGGAGGGGAGAGGAGGGGGGGAGGAGGGCAGGCGGGCGGAGGAGTGGGGAGGAGGAGGAGAGGGAGGAGGTCCGCCTGGGCTTGAACTCTGGCGGTGGTAGTAACAGGGACATGGAGGGAGCAGCATCACCAGCGGCAGCAGCAGCAGCCGTGGGATGAATAAAGGGAGGGGCAGTAAGGGGGGGTTGCAGCAAACGGGCTGACGCAGGTGCTGCCGCTGCTCCCCCTGCTGTTGCAGCAGAAGTAGCAGCGGCGGCGGCGGCGACACCAGCGGTGAGAGCGGAAGGCAGAGAACCGGGAGGAACAAGAGCGGATGAGGTAGCAAGAGGAGGAGAGGGAGACGATGCTCCCTTCCCTCGCATCACCACACCTGACCCCTCTCCCGTGCCCCGCTCAAACTGAGACGACTTTTGAGGCGCCTCAAAAGCCTTCCCTCGCATCACCACACCTGACCCCTCTCCCGTGCCCCGCCCACCACCACCCTCCTTTCCACTCCGCTTCCCTCCTTCCCCTCTCCCTCCTCCTTTCGACCCTCCTCTCCCTTGCCCTCCCTCCCCTCTCCCTTGCTCACTTCTCCCTTTCTGGAAAGGACTGGGTTGCATAAGACTGGGTGGAATGGCAGAGGAAGGGGCAGGGGAGTGGGAGGTGTGCGGATGGGTACGAGGGGGAGCGGATGGGTGCAGAGGAGCCGTGTGAGTGTGGCCATGTGGAGAGGCATGTGTGTGTGTGGGGGGCGTGTGGAGTGCGGCTGACGGGTCATAGATGGGTGCTGCTGCATGGGTGGCGAAAGCAGGCGGCACAGAGAGGAGACCATTTGTCATAATCCCGTCAGCTGCACGCTCGCCTTGACCTCCCATCTCCACACTGCCTTCCAACGCAACCCCCTTTTCTCTGTGGCCCCCATCGCCCTCCCCCTCCACCTCTCCTCCCTCCGCCTCTCTTCCCTCCACCTCATCCTCAGTCCCCTCACCTTCATCACCCTCTCGCTCTCCCTCAACTTCCTCCGTGCCCACATCCCTCTCCTCTTCTTCCTCCTCTCCCTCTCCCTCCCCCTCCTCCTCCTCCACCTCCTCCCCCTCCTCCCCTTCCCCCTCCCCCTCTTCCCCATCCTCCACCTCTCGCTCCTCACTCTCCTCTGTCCACTCATCCACCTCACGCCCACCACAACCCCCTCCATCACCTTCTGTTTTCAAACGTTTAAACATCCGCTCTTTGTTAAGCAATCCACTTAGCTCACCGCCAATGCCATGCATGCTCCCACTGCTGCCCTTCCCATCCTTATCAATGCCTACCAGTCTGCCTTCCAATTCTCCTCTCTGCACAATCTCGCTGTCTAGGCTGCCACTAATCTTTTCCGCTGCCCGGGATCGGTCACGTGCCCGAACAGGTTTACCAGGAGCACCAGCCTTCGGCAGCCAGGGAAACGGGGGCAGAAAAAACTCTTCATAACTCCCCAGCAAAGCATCATCACCGTTGCTGGTCTCACCACCGCCTGCCTTCTCTTTCTCGTTCTGCCCATCTGACTGCACCCCTATCTGCTTACTCTTGCCTGCAACGCCCGTAACCCCCCTCTCATGCTCTCTGCTTTGCCCATGCATGTCCTTTGACCGTGTTCCTTCTGATTCTGGGAGCAGCGAGGAGAGGAGCGAGTCGAGAGACAGGCAGGGTGGGAAGGCGAGGAGGGAGGGGAATGCGGCAACTGGATGGAGGGGGAACCTGCTAGTGGGTCATATAGTGTGGGCGGGGAGACAGGGGAAGGGGAAGGAAGGGGAGGTTGAATTGAGTAACAAGTCCTTTATGACATGCACATGTTCAGAACAGAAAGCACAAGTGGGTTGAGAGCAAGAGCGGCACGCGTGGGGTTGATGATGGAGGCAGTGAGGCAAGGATTGGTTATAATGCGGCGTCCCATTGGCGAGTAGGGCATGAGGTGGCAATGTGAGGCGTTCCCTGGCGATTTTTGAGTTGACTCAAAAGTCACCTCGTTCCCTGGCGATGTGGATGCTTGCTTACCCCAATGGTGCACTGAGCGGTACTTGGTCTTTATGACTAGGCCGCTCTACTATTGCCTTCTGCTTGCTGCTTGGCTGGGTTCTGCTGGGCTCTCGGGCGTGAGTGAGACTGCTGGGTGAACTGGCATGGCCAGTGTGTGTGGGTGTGTGTGTGCTGGTGTGTGTGTTGGGTGTGTGCGTGTGAGCTTGTGAGGGGCCGTGAGTGTGCGCAGAGTGAGAGAGGTTCACGTAGGGTGCACCTAAAGAGGGGACATGCAGCAACTGAGGCATGGTGGGTGCAGGGGGGTGGGCGGGGTTGGAGATGGGTGCAGAGGGATGAGGAAGCGAAGGAAGGGAGTTGAGAGGAGGCGTGAGGGGAGGAGGCATGGAGGAAGGAGGCTGAGAGGGTGGGTGGAAGTGCAGAGCGGGAGGGGCCTTGTGTGGGTAGAGGCGGGGCAGAAGGAGAGAGTCGACCTGATGGGCACACAGGGACACACAGGGGGATGGGAGGATGAGGAGAGGGGAGTGAGTAGACAGAGGATGAGTGAACCAGGAAAGAATGTGGCCAATCAAGGCAATGAGCAGACGCACAAATGGGCTGCAGAAGCAGGAGTCATAACTTATAAGCAGAAGAATAAATTACCAGCAGACAGCAGCAGCTGCCGCACTGCACTCACCTCATCATCAATCTTCTCCCAAAAGTCCTTCCCTGCCCCTCTCCTCCCCTGCAGCCTCCGCACCACTTTCCGCCCCTCCGCCACTCTCCTTTCTTCCTCCGCCCTTTTCTCCTCCTCTTCTCTCTCCGTCTCCTCTGCTCTCTTGCCCACCTCTCTCGTCTCCCCCTCTCTCTTCTCCCCATCCACCCCGGTCTCATTCTCCACCCGCTCACTTCTCTCACCATCCTCTCTGTCCTTCCCTTCCACGCCTCCACCCGAGCGTGTATCCAAGCCTGCAACCGAGCCTAAGTCCGAACCTGATATCGGCACGGCATTCAGGTCTGTGTGCGCGGGGGCAGAGGCTTGGTGAGGAGGGCAGGCAGTGGGGGCTGGAGCGACGCTACCAGGGAGGGAAGGGGCAGAGAGATGCTGATGTGCTGCTGGCACCATGTGGGTCGGCGTGTGAGGAGCAGTGGGGAGGACAGCGGGAGGGCGGAAGGAGGGTGGGAGGGAGAGGAGAGTGGGCGGGGCTGAGAGGTGAGCAGAGCACAGCTGAGACCCCAGAGCCACACCTGCTGCTGCTGGAGCGAGTGGTGCTGCTGCTGCTAGTGGTGCTCCTGCCAGTGGTGCTGTTGCTGCTAGTGGTGCTCCTGCCTCTGGCGCTGCTGCTGCAGTTACTGCTGTCGGGGTCGACTGGTGACTGGGAGCAAGAGGAAGAGGAGGAGGCGAAAGGGCAGGGGAGGAGGGCGGGGGAAAGGACGAGCGAGGCGTGGGGAACGGGGAGGGAGGGTGGGGCTGGGCCAAGAGGAAAGCAAGGGCGTGCTGTTGTTGGGCTGGAGATAGGCGCATGGCTGGTGATAGGTGTACAGCAGGTGACAGCAGTGCTGCAGTTGCACGCCCACTCACACCGCCCTCTCTTTCTCTTCCCGCTCCACCACCTGCTGCTTGCCCCACACTTGCTGCTCCTCTACCTCCTCTTCTTCCGCCTCCTACTGTTGCCCCGGTCCTGCTCTTTCCAGCCAGCATTCTGCGCAGATATGCCGTGGTGAGGCGAACCCTCTTCGGGGGAGGAGGTGCATTGTCAGATGCCCCCCTGCCTGGTGCAGTGGCAGTTGCATCGACCTCCTGAGCCACAGCACCGGCAGCATCAGGCGTAGTAACAGCATCAATAGCTGTTGCAGCACCAGCAGCATCAGGCGTAGTAACAGCATCAATAGCTGTTGCAGCACCAGCAGCATCAGGCGTAGTAACAGCATCAATAGCTGTTGCAGCACCAGCAGCATCAGGCGTAGTAACAGCATCAATAGCTGTTGCAGCACCAGCAGCATCAGGCGTAGTAACAGCATCAATAGCTGTTGCAGCACCAGCAGCATCAGGCGTAGTAACAGCATCAATAGCTGTTGCAGCACCAACAGCATCACTCGTAGTAACAGCATCAATAGCTGTTGCAGCACCAACAGCATCACTCGTAGTAATAGCATCAATAGCTGTTGCACCACCAGGTATGGAAACAGAATCAATAGCAGCAGCAGCATGAATGGCAGCACCAGTATCAGTCACAGCGGCAGTGTCAGCATCAGGACTCGTGACAGCAGCACCGGGACTCGTGACAGCAGCATCGGGACTCGTAGCAGCAGCATCGGGACTCATGGCAGCAGCATCGGGACTCGTGGCGGCAGCATCGGGACTCGTAGCGGCAGCATCGGGACTCGTAGCGGCAGCATCGGGACTCATGGCAGCAGCATTGGAACTCGCGGCAGCAGCATCGGGCCTCGTAGCGGCAGCATCGTGACTCATGGCAGCAGCATCGGGACTCGTAGCGGCAGCATCGGGACTCATGGCAGCAGCATCGGGACTCGCGGCCGCAGCATCGGGACTCGTGGCAGCAGCATCGGTTGCATCACGAACAGCAGCAGCTCCAGGAGCAGAAGCATCAGCAGCACCAGGAGCAGAAGCATCAGGAGCACCAGGAACAGAAGCATTAGCAGCATTAGAAGCAGAATCACCAGTAGCACCACGAGCAGAAGCACCAGCAGCACCAGTGGCAGAAGCACCAGTACTAGTAGCATCAGCAGCACCAGGAGAAGCAGCATCAGCAGCAGCCACATCAGCTGGAGCACCAGTAACAGTGGCACCACTACCATTCACAGCAGCCACAACAGCAGGGATTGCAGCAACACTTGCATCAGCGACTGCAGCAGTCTCAACAGCAGTTGCAGCAGCCTCAACAGTAGCTGCAGCAGCCTCAGACTTGGTGTGGCAGGTCAGAGCCACTTGTCTCTCCACAGCAAGCGGAGCTTCTTTCAAGGTGGAGGGAGGGGCTCGTGAAACACACTCTGCATCCGCCTTGGCAGTCTCTGTGTCAGCTTCGGCAGTCTGTGTGTCAGTTTCAGCAGTTTCTGTGTCATCTCTGGCAGTCTTGGCAGCAGCAGGAGCAGCAGGCAGGTTGGGGGAGAGAGGAGCAGCGGTGGCAGTAGGAACGTTGGGGGAGTGAGCAGGAGCAGTGGCAGGAGCAGCAGCAGCAGCAGGAGCAGGAGCAGGAGCAACAGCAGCAGCAGGAGCAGCAGGCAAGTTGGGGGAATGAGGAGCAGCGGTGGCAGTAGGAACGTTGCAGGAGTGAGAGGGAGCAGTGGCAGCAGCAGTGGCTGGAGCAGTGGCAGCAGCAGTGGCAGTAGCAGTGGTAGGAGCAATGGCGGGAGTAATGGCAGGAGCAGTGGCAGGAGCAGTGGCAGAAGCAGAGGCAGCAGCAATGGCGGGAGAAGTGGCAGGAACAGTGGCAGGAGCAGTGGTAGGAGCAGTGGCAGGAGCAGTTGCAGCAGCAGTGGCGGGGCCAGTGGCAGCAGTACTGGCAGCAACAGTGGCAGCAGCAGTGGCAGAAGCAGTGGCAGAAGCAGTGGCAGAAGCAGTGGCAGAAGCAGTGGCAGGTGGAGAGTGGGCAATGGCAGCGACAACAGCAGCCCAGTCGTGGGTGGCTGCACTGTCAACAAGCCCCAACTGCTTCTCCTCTGCCACCCCCGTCACATCCACCGCCCTCACCTCATCCACCGCCCTCACCTCATCCACCGCCCTCACCTCATCCACCTGCCTCACCTCATTCACTTGCACAGCACTGCACGCATGAACCTCACTCTCCTCCACCACTGGGTTCGATCCTCTCTTCCCCTCCTCTCTACCCACCTCTTCTGCTCTCCTCTTCACTTGCTGAATAACATCCTCCTTCATCCCGTTGTTTTCTCCTTCATCTCCCTGTTCACACTCCTCTGCCCACTCTCTCTTTCTCTTCTGCCTCTCCTCCCTTCCAACCCCGCAACTTTGCAGATCGTTATTTCTCCCCTTTGCTCCGTCCTTTGCTTCCTTCTCATCCTCACGCTCCTTCCTTCCCTCCTCTTTCTCCTCCTTTTCCTCCTCCCCTCTCTCCTTTCCCTCCTCTCCTCTCTCTTTCCCTTCCTCTCCTCTCTCTTTCTCCTCTTCTTTCTCCTTCCCCTCCTCCCCTTTCTCCGTCCCATCCTCCTCTGTCTCCTTCCCCTCTTCCTCTCTATCCTTCTCCTCCTCCCTTCTCACCTTCTCCTCTTCGTTCGCCTTCCCATCCTCCCCTCTCTCCTTTCCCTCTTCCTCTCTCTCCTTCCCCTCCTCCCTTCTCGCCTTCTCTTCCTCTTCATTCACCTTCCCCTCCTCCCCTCTCACCTCTCCCCTTTTTTCTTTCTCCTTCCCCTTCACCCCTCTCTCCTTCCCGTCCTCCCCACTCACCTTCCCCTCCTCCTCTTTCTCCTCCTCCCCTTTCTCCTCCTCCCCTTTCTCCACCTGCCCTTTCTCCTCCACTCCTGTGCTCTCCTCCACTTTCCCCTCCACCTCTCTCTCCTTCCCCCGTGCCCCAGCTTCCACTGCCACCTCTCCAGAACCCACTCGCTCTCCACCTCTCCGCTCCACACTCTCCTTCGCTGCCCTCCCGTCTGCCACCCATCCACCCATCAAGCTGCTCGTCTCTCCCCCCTTCCCTGCACCCTCCTTCTCTGCACCCTCCTTCCCTGCACCCTCCTTCTCTGCACCCTCCTTCTCTGCACCCTCCTTCTCTGCACCCTCCTTCTCTGCACCCTCCTTCCCTGCACCCTCCTTCCCTGCACCCTCCTTCTCTGCACCCTCCTTCTCTGCACCCTCCTTCTCTGCACCCTCCTTCTCTGCACCCTCCTTCTCTGCACCCTCCTTCCCTGCACCCTCCTTCCCTGCACCCTCCTTCCCTGCACCCTCCTTCCCTGCACCCTCCTTCCCTGCACCCTCCTTCTCTGCACCCTCCTTCTCTGCACTGCTCACTGCCTTCCCGACAAACTTGTCCATTCCCCCTTCTGTGCCAGCCAGCCCCGCCCGTGTCCCCACCCCACCTTCCCCTTCCTTCCCCTGCTCCTGCTCCCCACCCACCTCTGTGTCCAATCCCGCTCCACCCTTCACACCCCCACCCCTCGCCACTCCCAACCCAGCCAGCTCTTCTCTCTGTCCCATGTGCTCTGTCTCCTCCCTCTGCTCTCTGTCTGCCAACACGATGCATTGACTCGTCTGATCCGCCCCATTCCCCACTTCTCCACCAACCGCACTGCCAGCATCACCACTCTTGGCCTGCTTAGCACTGTCCCCCGCCTCCACCCCTGCTGCCTCCACACCTGCTGCCTCCACACCTGCTGCCCCCACCCCTGCCACCCCCACCCCTGCCGCCCCCACCCCTGCCACCCCCACCCCTGCCGCCCCCACCCCTGCCACCCCCACCCCTGCCGCCTCCACCCCTGCCGCCTCCACCCCTGCCATCCCAAGCATCGCGTCAAGCACCTCGACCTTCCCTCCCACAGCTGTCTCCTCTACGCTCCCCTCTGCTTCCGCTTCCATCTTCCCCATCCCATCCACACCTCCCGCCGTCTCCCCTGCTTCCCCTGTCTCCTCACCCACTAGCACTGCCATGCCTCCTTCTCCTTCCCTCCCCTTCGCCTCCTCCCCTTGTGTCCCTTCCCTGAACGCAGTTTCCATTTCAACTGTCCTTTTTATGGCTTCCCCCTTCGCCTTCGCCCTTTCCTCCTTCTTTGCTCCTTCGTCCTCCCCCTTCGCTCTTTCATCCTCCCCCTTTACCCTTTTCTTCTCCTTTGTTCCTTCCTCCGCCGCCTTTGCCCTTTCCTCCTCCCCCTTTGCTCCTTCCTCCTTCCCCTTCGCTCTTTCGTGTTCCCCCTTTGCCTTTTCCTCCACCCCCCTTGCTTCTTCCTCCTCTCGCTTTCTCCCTTCCTCCTCTTCCGTTACCCATTCCTTCTCGCCCTTTGCCCCTTCCTTCCCCCTTTTTGCCCCTTCCTCCTCCTCATTCGCCAATCCATCCATCCCCTTCGCCTTTTCGTCCTTTCCCATTGCAATTTCCTTTTCCCCCTTTCCTTCCTCCTCTCGCATTGCCCCTTCCTTCTTCCCCTTAACCCCTTTTCTCTCCTCCTTTGCCCCTTCCCCCATCCCCATCACCCCATCCCCCTCGTCTCCCCTGGCTGCAGCAGCCCTCACCACCACCGCACCTCTCACACCACCTTCGCCCTCCACCCTCTTCTCCCCCTCTTCCGCCACCACCCCCTCCTCCACCTTCCCCATCCCCGCCTCCACATCACCAACACCACAATTCTCCATGCTGCTGCCTTCCGCCTTCTCTCCACTCTTACTCACCGCTTCCTCCTTCTCTCCACTCCTACTCACCGCTTCCGCCTTCTCTCCACTCCTTCTCACCGCTTCCCCCTTCTCTCCACTCCTACCCACCGCTTCCGCCGTCTCTCCACCCCTACTCACCGCTTCCCCCTTCTCTCCACTCCTGCTCACCGCTACCGCCTTCTCTGCACTCCTACCCACCGCTTCCTCCTTCTCTTCACTCCTACTCACCGCTTCCACCTTCTCTCCACCCCTACTCACCGCTTCCGCCTTCTCTCCACTCCTGCTCACCGCTTCCGCCTTCTCTCCACTCCTGTTCACCGCTTCCGCCTTCTCTTCAGTGGTATCTTTGCCCGCCTCAGCACTCCTCGCACCCTGCTTCACGCCACCCACTTCCCCCACTTCCTTCCCACCCACCTCCCCTTCTTCGTTTCCACCCAGATTTCCCCCTTCCGTCCCACCCACCTTCCCCCTTTCCGCCTTGTCCTCCTTCCGCACACTCTCATTTTGCCAGCCCTTCTCCTTCTCTGCCTCTTCCTCCCCATTCGCCTTCTGCTCCCCACTCACCTTCTCCTCCCCACTCACCTTCTCCTCCCCACTCACCTTCTCCCCATTCAACTGCTCCTCGCCCACATTTGCACCTTTCTCGCCCTCCTTTACACTTTCCTTCCCCTCCTTTGCACTTTCCTTCCCCTCCCTATCACTTTCCTTCCCCTCTTTTACACTTTCCTTCCCCTCCTTTACCATTTCCTTCCCCTCCTTTACACTTCCCTTCCCCTCCTTTGCACTTTCCTTCCCCTCCTTAGCACTTTCCTTCCCCTCCCTATCACTTTCCTTCCCCTCCTTTACACTTTCCTTCCCCTCCTTTGCACTTTCCTTCCCCTCCCTATCACTTTCCTTCCCCTCTTTTACACTTTCCTTCCCCTCCTTTACCATTTCCTTCCCCTCCTTTACACTTCCCTTCCCCTCCTTAGCACTTTCCTTCCCCTCCTTTGCACTTTCCTTCCCCTCCCTATCACTTTCCTTCCCCTCCTTTACACTTTCCTTCCCCTCCTTTGCACTTTCCTTCCCCTCCTTTACACTATCCTTCCCCTCCCTTTCACTTTCCTTCCCCTCCTTTACACTTTCCTTCCCCTCCTTTGCACTTTCCTTCCCCTCCTTTACACTATCCTTCCCCTCCCTTTCACTTTCCTTCCCCTCCTTTACACTATCCTTCCCCTCCTTTGCACTTTCCTTCCTGTTCTTTGCACTTTCCTTCCCCTCCTTTACACTATCCTTCCCCTCCTTTTCACTTTCCTTCCTCTCCTTTACACTTTCCTTTCCCCCCTCTGCACTTCCCTTCCCTCCCTTAGCACCTTCATTCCCCTCCTTTGCTCCTTCCTCACTGTCCTTTCCTGGCCCATCCCCCTGTGCTTCGACCTGCCCTGCGGTAGCCATCGCGTCGGCATCATGTCCCCCCTCGCCTGCACCAACCACATCCGCTTCCTTCGCCTCATCCCCTCCCTTCGCCTCATCCCCTCCCTTCGCCTCATCCCCTCCCTTCGCCTCAGTGCTCATCCTCCCAGCCTTCCCCTTTTCCTCTCCTCGCACGTCTCCCTCCATTTTCTCCTCCCTTCCCTCCTCCTGTTTCTCCTCTCTTTTCTCCTCCCTTCCCTCCTCCTGTTTCTCCTCTCTTTTCTCCTCCCTTCCCTCCTCCTGTTTCTCCTCTCTTTTCTCCTCCCTTTTCTCCACCCCTCCCTCCAATTTCTCCCCCTTTTTCTCCTCCCGTTCCTCCCCTTTCTCCTCCCGTTCCTCCCCTTTCTCCTCCCGTTCCTCCCCTTTCTCCTCCCGTTCCTCCCCTTTCTCCCCCTTTATCTCCTCCATTGCCCCCTCCCTTTTCTCCTCCCTTACCTCCCTTTTCTCCTCCCTTACCTCCCTTTTCTCCTCCTTCCCTTCCTCCCTTTCCTCCATTCCCTCCTCCTTTCTCTCCCTTCCCTCCTCCCTTCCCCCCTCCCTTCCCGCATCCACCATCTCATCCCCCTCTCTTGTGTCTGCCATCACCCTCCCTCCCTTCTCATTCTCCCCCAATCCCTCCTTCCCCTTCCGCCCCAATCCCTCCTTCCCCTTCCGCCCCAATCCCCCCTTCCCCTTCTCCCCCGATTCCTCCCTCCCCGAACCCCCTTCCCTGTCAAATTCCCCTCTCTCCTCGCTGCACGTGCGTTTGACCTTCATTGCAAGCCCACATCTTTCACCCCCCTCCTCCTCCTCTCGTCCCTCGCTCCCTTCGCTACGCTCCTCCAACCCCCCCAACCCCGCTTCCCCCACCGCTGCTCCCCTCGATGCCGCTTTCCCCAATGCCATCCTCATCCCCGCCAGTGTGCCATCCACTCCCCGAATGCCCCCTTGCTGCTCTCGGTCCTCCCCCACCTTACCGCCCTCCCCCACCTTGCCGCCCTCCCCCACCTTGCCGCCCTCCCCCACCTTGCCGCCCTCCCCCACCTTGCCGCCCTCCCCCACCTTGCCGCCCTCCCCCACCTTGCCGCCCTCCCCCACCTTGCCGCCCTCCCCCACCTTACCGCCCTCCCCCACCTTGCCGCCCTCCCTCACCTTGCCGGCCCCCCCCTCCTTGCCGCCTTCCCCCTTCTTGAAGCCCTCCCCCCCCTTGCCGCCCTCCTCTCTCCCACCCTCCTCTCTCCCAACCTCCTCTCCTCCACCCTCCTCTCCCCCAATCTTCCCTCCACCTCCCTTCCATCCCTCCTCACACGTTGCCCCTCCCGCACGCTGCTCCCCAGTCCTCGTTTCCCCATTCTCACCCTTCACCGTCCCCCCACTCTCACTAGCCCTCTTCTCCTCGCCTCTGTCTGACGCCTTTCTCTCATCTCCATTCACCCCCTCGCCCTGCCTCGCACTGCCTGCTACGTCCTCGTGCCTCTGCACATCACTCTGCTTTTCAAACCTTCCTTCCCTCTCAGGGAGCTCCCCGTCCCGCCTCTCCTCCTTCCTCTCATCCGTCGTCTCATCCCTCCTCTCCTGCTGCTGCTCTCTGGTCCTCTCTGCAACCTTCGTTTCGCCTGCTGCTGCAACCTTCGTTTCGCCTGCTGCTGCAACCTTCGTTCCGCCTGCTGCTGCAACCTTCGTTTCGCCTGCTGCTGCAACCTTCGTTTCGCCTGCTGCTGCAACCTTCGTTTCGCCTGCTGCTGCAACCTTCGTTTCGCCTGCTGCTGCAACCTTCGTTTCGACTGCTGCTGCATCCTTCGTTTCGCCTGCTGCTGCAACCTTCGTTTCGCCTGCTGCTGCATCCTTCGTTTCGCCTGCTGCTGCAACCTTCGTTTCGCCTGCTGCTGCAACCTTCGTTTCGCCTGCTGCTGCAACCTTCGTTTCGCCTGCTGCTGCAACCTTCGTTTCGCCTGCTGCTGCAACCTTCGTTTCGCCTGCTGTTGCAACCTTCGTTTCGCCTGCTGCTGCAACCTTCGTTTCGCCTGCTGCTGCAACCTTCGTTTCGACTGCTGCTGCATCCTTCGTTTCGCCTGCTGCTGCAACCTTCGTTTCGCCTGCTGCTGCATCCTTCGTTTCGCCTGCTGCTGCAACCTTCGTTTCGCCTGCTGCTGCATCCTTCGTTTCGCCTGCTGCTGCAACCTTCGTTTCGCCTGCTGCTGCATCCTTCGTTTCTCCTGCTGCTGCGACCTTCCCCTCGTCCGCTGCGACCTTACTTTCGTCGCCTGTCACCTTCTCATTCTCGTCAGCGAAACAAGTCGCCTTCGCCTCGTCGCTTGGAGCCCTGACGGCGCTACTAGCAGCGCACGCTGCCCTGGCGACGCTACTAGCTTCGCCAGCAGTCCCGGCGACGCTACTTGCTTCACCAGTAGCCCTGGCGACGCTACTAGCTTCGCCAGCAGTCTCCGCGACGCTACTTGCTTCACCAGTAGCCCTATCTGAGGCCCCCCCTGCTGCCACGACCCTCCCTGTCTCACAAACAGCTGCTTCGCCTGCAACCTTCAGTGAGGCAGCCATGGCTTTATCGTCCGCTTTAACGGCTTTATCGTCCGCTTCAATGGCTTCATCGCCCACGATGGCTTTATTGTTGATGGCTTTATCGGCAGGTTTAATTGCTGTATCGTCCGTCTTAGTCGCTGTATTGTCCCCTTTAATGCACGTTCTGTCCGCTTTAAGGGTCGTATCCTCCACTTCGATTGCCTTATCTGTCGCTTTAACGACTGTATCGTCTGCTTTCACTGCTGCGTCATCACCTCTAACTGCTGCGTCATCAGCGTTAACTGCTGCGTCATCAGCGTTAACTGTTGCGTCATCAGCTGTAACTGCTACAATACCCTCTCCTGCGTTCTCACCCCCACGCTCCCCCGCCAATTCCATGCGACCGTCTTCCTTCGCCTCGCCTGCGCCCTCGGACGCTTGTCGCTCATCTGCCTGCCGGGCCTCTGCCGCTCCTCTGCTAACCATCGTGCGCTCCATCCCTCCGCTCCACCGTGCCCCGCCCGACACGCTTCAGAGCGCGCTGTAATGCATCAGCGGATTGTCGCGACGAATTGGAATTGAGAAATCGACTCTACCCTGGACCGAATCTCACGGGTTTCCGATTCCCCAGTACTCGTCGTCACAGGCAGAGGAAGGCTTTTGGATGAAACGAGAGAGGGGCTTGAAAGCGCGAATTGAACGGCAGGGATGGGGTGAGGAAAGCACTGCACGGGACTGGGATGGGATGGGAGAGGGCTTGTCCAAGGGTCGTGAATACGGTTCAGTTTGTTCTCTCGACGTAATACATCGGTTAAGTAGGGTAGTGAAAACTTTCCGAAACGCTTCAGCAAGGCCATGCAGCCCACGCAGTAGTAAGTGCCATTCCCTGACCGTTCAAGGGAGGGTGGGGGGAGAAGTGAGGCTGTGTTGGCCATCGTGGTGTGGAGTCACGACGCCAAGCGAAGCGTGAGGTAACCACGTTCATTGTCGCTATCAGAATGGAGGGTGGATTTGTACGCAAGGTGGATATTGCATTATGTTACCAGACTCTATCAATCCGAAATTGGTAATGTCAGAATTTCTTTTAGAAACCAGTTACTGCACAAAAGCTTCACAAAAAAATGGATTCAACTCGTTTGAGTGTATTCCACCATGCCATCACACGACAACTGCAACATAATGGGCTCCTTGTCCGCACCTCTAGTTGCAGTGGCAGCACTGCTGCTGCCACCTCTGCCATCACTCTCCCTGCTATCTAAAGCTTCCCCCTCCTCCGTACCACCACCAACACTCGTTCCAAGAAGAACTCTCTTCACCTGCCTGTTCAAACCAACAGCACTTGACCTACCACCATTTGCTTTGGGGCCCCCCTCTCCCTGACTTTTCTCAAACACAAGCCTAGCACCTCTCATCCCCCCCACCTTGCCTCTCCCGCCTCCCCTGCTCCCCATGCTGCTTCCCCCGCCTGCCCCCAACCCCTCTGCCCCCACGAGCCTGTCGGAGTCACCCGAACGAATTTTTCCATCTTCGGATGAATCCCCCCCTTTTTCTGCTCGGCCCTGCCCTGCGCCCCACACGTCCACATCGCGCCACGCCCCCCACACTTGCTCCTCCTCACTCCCCTCCTCACTCTGCCTCCTCTCAATCAGCACCACCCCTTCAGCTGCCAGCCTGGCATGACCTGGCGCTGAGTCAGTCCACATCAGCGCGCCCTCCATCTGCACAGTGCCCCGCACAGCATCTCTGGGAGCTGACAGCCTGGCAGGCCCATCTGCCGTGGCAGCAGCCAAAACAACAGTGGCAGATATGGTAGTATCTACAGGTATGGTATCAATAGGTATGGTATCTACAGTAGTGTAGTCACCCACACCTAAAACATTCCCCATCCAGACGTTTCTCTGGTCCTTGATTCCGGGCAGAAAAAGCCGTCCCGTGATGGGAATGGTAACAAGCACTGATGAGCCCTCCTCTGCCAGTGCCCCCACCTGCCCTGCACCTTTCCACCCACCAGCAGCACCATCCAGCGTCTCCTTCCGACCCACGTGTGCATCATCGCCCTTGTGCCCCCGCTGCTGTCCCCCCTGGTGGCCCCCATGGGGCTCTTCCTGCTGCCCCCTCTTGTGCCCCACCATGCGAGGAGCCACCATGGTCCACACCGCTGCCCCCTGCTCCGTCAGCGGGCTCTCAAACACAACCTCGCCTCGAATCACCCCCTCCAATGTCTCACCCTCTGCTGCCACACCTGCTGGTTCATCTGGAGTATCAGCATCATCGTAGTCATCACCATGACCAGCATCACCGCCTTTCAACCCACCAGCCGCGCCCTTCCCTTGCGCCTCCACCTCGCCCGCTTGTGCCCTCCTCTCATCACCCCCTGCTGCCTCACCCCCGCTTTTCACCCAACACGCAAACGAGCCCGGCGACAGCACCACGGCTGCTCGCGTTGCTGCGCCCCCCTTGCCAATGCCCGCTGCTGCTGCCCTGTGCTCTTCTGTTCCCCTCTTGAGACGTCTCAAAAGGTGCTCTTCTGTTCCCCTCGCCCCGTTTCCCGCCCTCCTGCTGCTGCCACCATCCCCATCGCCCCTGCTGCCTACAGTACCTCCTCCCCTGCCACTCACTGCCACACTCCCAGCAGCACCTGCCGGCACCACCTCCCTCCCGTGGACACTCACCAGCATGCTCCGCGACACAGACAGCCCCATGGGTGCTGCTGGTGGGTTCAATGCGGTACGGATGGGTTTCTGGACTTCGTTAGCAAATGGGTCCTCCACAGCCCATCCCTCCTGCACCCAGTTCTGTGTCGACTCAACACTAGCCTCCTCCATTCTATTCATCATATTCCCCTCCTCCACCCCAACCCTCTTCTTCTCCAAAGCCCCACCCTCCTCCTCCCCTGCCCCCTCGCTCCCTTCGCCCCCGTCTCCTCCTTCCACCTCTCGCCAGAACAGCGGAGGTTTATGCACGTGCACGGACTTTTTACTTTTACCGAAGAAGCTTATAAGGAGGTCTTCCAGAGGCCCCTCCAGGAAGCGCTGCTCCACGTGGGCCAGCAGCGGCAGCAGGTGGCTCGCCTCGCCCCGCAGCAGCAGCGCCTGCACGCCCCTCACACCCCGCAGCACTGATGCCCACCCGCCCTCGTGAGACGCCCCTCCTGCTTCTTCTCTCTCCCCCGCCTCTATGCCCCGTGCGTCCATTGCGGCCCCTGCTTGGGCTGTGCCCTCCTCCTCTGTGCCCCCGGCGTCTATTGTGCCCCCGGCGTCTATTGTGCCCCCTGTTTCGACTGCGTGCCCTGCTTGTGCGTCTGGCGCTGTGGGTGGTGGTGGTGCCGGTCGTTGGCCTGCGAGGGACACCACGCCCCAGTCCCTTCCTCGCAGCTCCCGCACCACAAACCGTTCCATCGCCACATCATACCGCTCTCTCACCCGCACTCCCCCTTCCCCCCCTGCTCCTCCTTCTCCCCCTCTCGCCCCTGCTCTTCTGGCTGGCGTCCGTGAGTTCCGAGTGCGCTGGTGGGGTGCGTGCAGGAAGAGCACGTGGCGGGGGGACGAGGCAGCGCACTGCCGCACACCATGCACGAACTGCACTGTCCGTTGCACCTCCCCCTGCCACCATTGCCGCATGCACGCCGCTCTCACTCTCTCCACACACCTCTGCTCCTTCAATCCTTGCACTTGTTGCTCCTTCACCCCCTGCTGCTCCTCCAACCCTTGCCGCCGTTGCTGCTGCTGCTGCAACTCCCCCTGTTTCCTCGCCCCATCTTGCTGCCCCGAGGCAGAGGCGGCACCGAGAGCCGTCCAGAGGTGTGCAGTGCGGTGGGGAGGGAAAAACCGTGGCGAGTAGGCACCAAGCAGCCGCTGCCTGGCTGCTGCTGGCAGGGCGTGAGCGAGCGAGCAGAGGGCAGGTGGCGCCTGCACCAGATCCACCTCAAAATCAGCTGATAGTTCCCTCAGAACCGGCCTGTACCCATCCTCCTCATCACCCTCACCATTTCCACCCTCACCACCACCATCTCCTCCATCCTCCTCTTCCTCTCTCTCTCCCCCTCCCTCATCCGTCTTTGCAGCTTCATTCCTCCCAATATCCCACCCCTCTTCCGCCGCCCCATCCTCCTCGCCTGCTCTCTCCTCCCCGCTCCTCTGCTGTCTCCACTTGTCCCTCTTTTCCGAGCCTGGCATCCAGGCTCGGCAGCCGGGGCTGTAAGCCACGGCGCGCATGGACCGTTCCAGCAGCAGCCCCTTGGCTCGGTGGCGATCCAGGGAGAGCAGCAGGTCCAGGGCAGGTGAAAGGAGTGCGGATGGGTTTGAAGTGGTGGTGGGGTCTGTGGGAGAAGACTCGCTGTGCTGCTCGCTTCTGCTGCTGCTGCCAGCTGCAGTGGCCTCAGTGGCATGGGCGGGGAACAGATGGCGCAGGGCGGAGAGGGAGAAGGGGTGCGCGGGCTGGGGAGAGGGCGGGGGAAGGGGAGCGCGGGAGGGAGGGGAGCAGGAGCAGTGGGTGGGAGCGATGGCAATGCACAGGCCCCATGCCAGGTTGCCGCCTCCCAAGCTGCTGCTGCTGCTGTCGGTGCTCTCGGCCTGTATGCTGCGGTCGCCCTCACTGCTTCTGCTCGAGTCACCAGCGAAGGCCATGGGGTGGAAGAAGGAGCTTTCCACGAACGCGCTCAGGGGAGGCAGGGACGCCGCAGTGAGGTTTGAACCTGAAAATGAACCTGAACCTGAACCCCTCTCCTCGCCCTCGCTGCCAGCAGCAGCAGTAGCAGCAGACACGCTTGACTTCTCCTCCTCTTCTTCCTCCTCGCCCGCTGCTCTCTTGTAGTGTGACCTCGTCTCCCCTGCTGCCGTACCTGCCGCGCCACTCGCGCGGGGCGCGCCGCCTCGAGTTACGCCGTCGTCCGCCGCGACGGAGTCGATCAGCGCGCTGCAGTCAATTCCGTCCGTTCCTTCGCGCAAACGGAACTCGTCAAACAGTTGACGGAATTCGTCTTGGCAGTCGTCGAGTCCGTCGAGAAACGACGAATGTGCATCGCCATGAGTCGTACCGCTGGCTGCGGAGGGTGCGACGGAGGCCAGGCGAAGGGTGGAGCGGAGGACGATGAGAAGGAGGAGGAGGAGGGCAAGGAGAGAGAGGAGGCAGCAGAGCGCGCCGATGCTGGTGCATACGCCGGTTCCATGGCGCAAGGGGCGGGCGCGCGAGTGGAAGGGGAGTCGGCGGAGGGAGAAGCGCGGGAGAGCGGCGGACGTGTGGGGAGGGGAATGCGCGCGCGAAGAGGAGGCTCGGCGCACGATCCTGGCGCTGTCCATCGCGAGAGCGCAAACCCAGTGCTCCGCGCGACTGTGTTTTATAGCAGGGGGAGGCGTCGCGCGTGCGACAACCCCTTGCGACGGCGACCTGTTGTGCGACGCTCGTGTGCGAGCAAGTTGCCATTACGACGTCGCGAGAACGGCTTTCGACGCAACGGATGGAGGAGGGAAATCACGTTGAAAGGCGAGCGAATCGACGTGGGCGTGACGATCATGCCGCGTTCTACGGTGGCCGGGACCGCTTGCGCCCCGACCCTTCCAGCAGCGGCTCGGCATTGCTGGGTGACGCGTGAACAGCCAATCGCTTTTGCTGATGCGCTCTTCTGAGCACATCTTGAACTCGGAATAATTAACCGATACTGATCCTCGGTAACATAAGTCCCGCTTCACAGACAAGGAGAGGAACACTCGCAAGCAGCAGTTATATAGTTTTACTTCACAGAGCTAACAAGTTGCTAAAACAAGCTTCCCTTTATTTTCTTCCTTGCAAAACCATTGAAGTGAACGACACACTATTTTTATTACCTTATTTATGCTAAGTAAATTCCTTGTACAAACCAGTGTACAATCGCTACACCAGGCACTAAAACTCCACTAAGATGAAATCAACCTAAATCAAATCCTTTAACATCCCTCAGTTCATCCCCAATTGCATCCCGCAACAGCAGCTCACCCAGCGCCCCCAGCGCCCCCAGCACCAACCCTGTAGTACCCAGGTGCACGCTCACCTTCAGCGCAGGCTTTCTGTGCTTGTACGCTGGCGCTGGAGGTGCTTGTAACGAGGGGTAACCTGGCCCAGATGGATTGCTTGATTGGGGGTAAGGTCCTGGATTGGGCAGCGGATCCTGTGGAGGTGGCACAGCGTGACTATAAGGGGGTGGGGCAGGGTAACCAATAACAGGCGGTGGTGGCGGAGGTGTTGGAGGTGGTGGAGATGGGTGTGCAGCGGTCTGATGGCTGTGAGATGAAGGCTTTCGTGCATCCTCTAGCTGACCTGGCACCCTGATTGGTGCCGCTGCTGAGCCAACTGGCACTGCATCTGCTGGAACTGCTGCATTCTCTTTCATTGCACAGTCCACGTAAGCACCGTCCACGTCAGCACCGTCCTCAGTCCCTGTGTAGGTGTAGAACGATGGGATGGGTGCAAGCGGCTGTCACCGAATATGTACGTTTGTGCATATAAGGTGCCAGTATGATTGTGGTGTAGAAAGGGTGTAGTAATGTGTTGTATTTGTTGTATGCAGGCTCAAGGATGGGTAGGTGGGAGGCTGGGAAATTGACGCGAAGTTGGTAGGAGAACACCAGGGGGTGAAATCCTCGCGACCAATGGGAACAAACCCAACCCAGGCTCAAGCCGCACATTGAGAAATGCACGGCTCGAGCCAGGGACAGGTAAGTTCACTCTCACACACACACACAATGCTTTCTGTTTGTTATCCTTTCGTATAGTGGACAGTTGTTACCTCAGATTTGCCTACAGGTGGCACACCACTCAGAGAGGACCTTTGAGGTGAGAGTTACCATTCTTTCATAACAAACAGAAAGGTGCGCGTGCAAGCATGGATGTGCACGAGTTGCGTTATGGCAGGAAGTACGATCGTCGTGAGGGTGATCGCTCGCGGCGGGAGCGCTCACGAGAGCGCGGGCGTTCGCTAGAGAGGTCGCCGCGGAGGCCTGACCGCTCGCCGCGGAGGCCTGAGCGCTCGCCGCGGAGGCCGGCTTTTCGCGCCGATCTGGTCCCTCTCGCGCCAGATCGCCGTGAAGAAGGTGCAGAGCGCGAAGGAAGAGGCGGATCCGAGTCCGTCAGGATGGGAAGTGACCCGTGGCGGACGGATACGCACCACGGGGCTGGTGGCGAATGCGGACATCGCCACGACACGGGAGCGTATCGCTCGCCGGACGAAGGTTACCGCCGTCGCGAAGATCGCAGTCGCGGGCGTGGCCTGGAGGAGCTATTCTCTGGTCGGCAAGGAGATCTCGATGTGGATGGGGAGGGCGAGGTCGATATGGCGGAGAAGCCGCAGGAAATGGATCTCGAGAGTGAAGCGAAGGGCGATGACGAGGCCCATGAGGAAGGCGCGGGCGAGCAGCGCGATATGCACGCCGAAGTCAAGGAAGCCAGTCCGATGCTGGCGAGCGAGGAGGCTGCGCCAGGCGCGGCAGAAATAGGCGGGAAGGATGGTGCGCGGAACCAGACGCGTGGTGAAGAAGGCAACGACGACAGGAGGCGTAGCCGTGGATCGCGCTCGCCGACCCCCATCAGCACCACGACCAGAATCATGGTGGCGAGAGGCATGCGTCAGATCCGCGGCTGCAGCAAGACAAGAGGCGCGACGGCGGGCATCGCTCGCCAGATCCGCGGCTGCAGCGTGACGAGAGGCGCGGCGGCGACCATCGCTCGCCAGATCCGCGGCGGCAGCGTGACGAGAGGCGTGGCGGCGACCATCGCTCGCCAGATCCGCGGCTGCAGCGTGACGAGAGGCGCGGCGGCGACCATCGCTCGCCAGATCCGCGGCTGCGGCGTGACGAGAGGCGCGGCGGCGGCTACCGCTCGCCAGATCCGCGGCGGCAGCGCGAGGACAGACGTGACGGCGGCAACCGCTCGCCAGATTCGCGGCAGCAGCGTGAGGACAGGCGCGACGGCGGCTACCGCTCGACTGATGTGCGGCAGTGGCACGACGAAATGCGCGGAAGTGGTCACCACTTGCCAGATCCACGGCAGCGTCGTGGGGAGGAGCGCGGAGACAGCACGCGTTCACCAGATCCGCGGAGGTATCACGGCGGGAGGAGCGAGAGGGGCTCACACTCACCAGATCTGCAGCGCTATCATGATGGGAGGAGCAGAGATGTCCAGCGCTCGCCTGACGCGCAACGGTATCCTGGAGGAGGGTGGAGAGGCGAGGCGCGCTCGCCGGATTGGCGGCAGCAGCTTGAGGAGAGTCACGGGGGCAGACATCGCTCGCCACCGCGGCAGCGGAGCAGGGATATAAGGCAAAGCGGTGGGGCACGTTCGCCAGAGCGTTATCGGCAACATGACGAGAGGCGTGCCGGCGAAGGAGGACAAGATCTGCGCAGCAGCAGAGTGGGAGGCAGCGGGCTGATGGACAGCCTGGAGCGAGCCAGAGAGGCGAGGGAGGGAATACGGCGGGCGGGAGAGAGGGGAACGGCAGGCAGGACAGCAGAGAGATATAGTGAGGCGTGGGGAGAAGGAAAGGGAAGTACAGCCATGGTCACAAGGGTGGAAGTACCAGCACGCTTCTCTGGGGACCAGCGATTGGGGCCCACACTGAAGAATTATCTCATGCAAGTGGGCAACGTGCGGTACAGATGCGAGAGGGGCGGCATGGATGCAGTGGACTTCTTTCTGAGCCTGCCAAACACACTGGAGGGGGAGGCAGAAACGTTATACAGGATGAAGATGAATGAGCTACTGGAGAGGGCAGGAAGGTATGGGGAGGACCCAACCGAAGAATTTCTGAGGCGGCTGAAGCGGCAGTTCCCAGGCCACACTGCAGAGAAGATCAGAGAGTTTCAAGACTTTAGGAAGGGGCGGGGAGAGTCACTACTCACCTACTACAATCGGCTGGTTAACATAGCGGAGGACGTGAGCTGTGCGGACATGGGCCTGCTTGTGAGCAAGTTCCTGGACGGCCTGGAGGGTACCTTGGGAAGCGGGCTGAGGCTGAAAGTATATGAGATGGGGGCTGAAGTGACACTTGATGAAGTGTTTGAGCTAGCTGAGAAGATGGAGATGGCCCAGAGGAAGCTTGAAGCCTACCGGCAACGACCAGCGGAGCGTGGCAGAGGACCTACATGGGCAGCAGCCATGATACCAGAGGAAAAGGAAAGGGCAGGGGGAAGAGGGGATAGCAGGACTGACGCACGAACGTGCCACCGATGCGGGCAGCCAGGGCACCTGCGCAGAGACTGCAAGAACTGCGACTCCTGTGGTAAGCCAGGGCACCGGCGGCGGGAATGCCCAACAGCTCCGAAGTGCGAAATCTGTGGGAAGGGAGGGCATGCAGCAAGGGAGTGTTATCAGCGGGAAGGAGCGGCGAAGAGGACACCAGAGGACCTGGAAAAGCAGATTGGCAGGCTGCAGGCTCAGCTGCAGGCAATGGGACCACGACGCGAGGCAGAAGCGGGGATGTACGCGGGGAAGGAAAAGGAAGAGGATGTAGAGCAAGATGAGGAGGCCGCTTTCATGAGCTGGGCAGGCAAAGCGAAGGATGAGGTGGAACACGAGGAGCAGCCAGCATACATGGCATGGAGAGGAAGGGAGGAGATGGGGCTACGCAGCGGAGGAAAGGATGCACGGAAGGACCAGGTAAGGAAGGAGCGAGAGAGAGGACAGAAACCGGAGGAGAAGGAAGAGAGGTGTACAGCGGCACGGCATCCACAGGAGCGGCTGGCGTGCCAGACTTCAGTGCTGCAGATACAAGGAGGTGCGCTGTCAGTGGAAGGGGAGAAGGCGAAGACGGCTATTATAGACACGGGCGCGCAGAGCGTGATACTAGGGAGGGGAATGGCAGAAAAACTGGGACTGTGGGCGCCGGACAGACATGTAGTGAAGGGAATGCTGGTGATGACAGCAGAGGGAGGAGAGTCAAAGTGGATGCCATGCACAAGGACTCCAATAGAACTGACGGTGCTCAAAGGAGAGAAGCACGAAACACCGGTGAGGATCAGGTGTGGGATCTCAGAATCTGAAGATTTCGACGTTTTGGTGGGCACGGAGATGATCTTTGCACTGGGCATGACCATCTGCTTTTGGAAGGAGACGGTAGAATTCAGAACCAGGTGGTGGAAGAAGGGTGAGCCACTGGGACAGCTGCCGGTGCAGTTCGTCAAGACAGAGCCAAAGCGGGCTTACAGGGCGGATCTAAAGGAGGGGGCAGCGAAGCAGGGGGCACAGGAGACCGCGAGGAACAAGGAACAGGGTGGACAGCCGAGGATGCACTTCATGGACGAGCCCAGCCAACAATCCGATTGGCAGCAACCTATCCGCCTGGTGGAACTCTTCGGGGGCATAGGGGTGGGTTTGGCAGCGGTGGTACGGAACGGGATAGCAGTGAAGCAGTGGATTTACGTAGAGAAGGCGGCAGAAGCAAGGAAAATGGCGGAGCATCATGCATGGCAGCTGCACAGCGAGTTCCCGGAGCTGTTGAAGGAAGAGGTGATCAGGGCAGCAATGAGCAGAGGAGTCAACGACGTCAGGGCCATCACAGAAGCTGAGGTGGCAAGCTGGGGGCACGTGGACCTGTTAGTGGCTGGGTGGGAGTGCCAAGGGGTATCATGGGCTGGGAAAGGCAAGGGTGAGCAAGACCTGCGAACACAGCTGATGGAGGACTTGTTCAGAGTGATGGAATGGCTGCAGGCTCAACAAGGCAGGGTGGCGTACCTGCTGGAGCATTTAGACATGGAAGGAGATGTGCGTGAGCCCATACGGCTGGTAAGGGAGCGAGTGACCAGACAGGTGGGAAAAGGGGTAAGCTGCGACGCAACACGGATGGGAGCCTACTCACACAGGCTCAGAATGTATTGGCAAAACGTGGTGCCAGCAGAAGACCTGCAGAGGGAGATAGAGGGGGTGAGAAGAGCAGGGGGGCGGAAGCTGAGCGATATACTCGAGCCTGGGCGAACACCAGCACCAGTAAGCAAGAGGAGCTACAGCCGACATTACCCTTGCAACACAGTGGGGCAAGAGAGGCAAGCACTGCCGACGCTCGTGTCATATGAAGGGGCAGCAGGGTACCAGATGGAGGGGAAGCAGCCAGGCCCAGGACTAGTGCTCGATCATAGGAAGGGAAGATGGGAAGAGCCCACGGCCCTGGAGAGGGAGCTGGCTATGGGGTACAAGGAGAACATCACAGCAGCCCCGGGCGTGACAGAGCAGGAAAGGAGGCGGGCGATGGGGAATGCAATGGATGGATACGTGATGAGGTGGTTGGTGCAGCGGATGTGGAGAGAAACGGTGCTGCACTGGGGACTGAAGGAGGGAGAAAATACAGAGGCAACGGTGAGACAAGGGGTGTGGACCTGCCTGCCAACAGCAGAGCCTGAGTGGAAGATAGGAGAGAGCATGAGCGAGGGAGGGAAGACAGCGATGCTGGAACTACTGGTCAAGCACAGGAAAGGCTTCGCTTTCACCCTGCAGGAGTTGGGGAAGTGCAAGATCAAGGAGATGGCATTGAAGCTGAACAGTGAAGAGCCGGTGTTCCATCGCAGAAGAAAGATGCCACCAGGGGATGAGGCAATCTGCAAGGAGAAAGTACAGGAGTTGCTGGAAGCAGGACTGATCAGAAGGTCAGAGTCAGAGTACGCAACCCCGACCGTGGTGGCAGCCAGGAAGGATTTGACAGGCGAGGTGCTGAGCCGCAGAATGTGCGGTGATTACAGAGATCTTAACAAGATCACCGTGCCGGATAGGTACCCCATGCCAATGGCGGAAGAACTCTTCGACAAGCTGGCCGACGGAGTATACTTCACGACGCTGGACCTGCGCCAGGGATTCAATCAGATAAAAATCAGAGAGGAAGATGTGAAGAAGACAGCCTTACACGGACCGGACGGGCTGTATGAGTGGTTATACATGCCCTTCGGCCTGCGGAATGCCTCGGCAGTGTTTCAGAGAGTTATGGATGCGGTGCTGCGGGGGATTGAACATGCAGCATGCTACATTGATGATGTGGTCATCTTCAGCCAGACAGAGCAGCAGCACCTTGAGGACGTGGAACGGACCCTGAGTGCAATAGAGGAGGCAGGGCTCACCTGTCATCCCAACAAGTGCAGGTGGGGGGAGCGGACAGTGCAGTACCTGGGGTATGAAGTGACAGGAGGACAGATCGGGATTCAGCAAGCAAAGGTGCAGGTGCTGGACAGGCTGAGGGAACCCAGGGACAAGACAGGGCTGCGCGCAGTCTTGGGCTTCCTCAGCTACTACAGGCGCTTCGTGCCTAACTTCAGTAAGCGGGCGGCAGTGCTGAACGGGATGCTGCGAGAGGACAAGGTATGGGAGTGGGGAGAACAGCAGAGGGAAGCACTGCAAGACCTCATGACAGCCGTGAAGACAGCAACCGTGCTGCGGCTGCCAGCAGCAGACCAGCCCTTCGTCCTCTACACCGATTGGAGCAGCCAGGGGATGGGGGCAATCCTGTGCCAGGAAGTGGAGGGAGTGGAAAAAGTGGTAGCCTACGCCAGCAGGAGCTGCAACCCCGCAGAGGCGCAGTATAGCTCATACATAGGGGAGGGGCTGGCGGCCGTGTGGGCGGTGGGGCATTTCAGGGTGTACCTGCAGGGCCGCGAGTTCACACTGGTCACTGACCATCAGCCCCTCACTTGGCTGATGACCACACCAGGGCTGACGGGAAGAAACGCAAGGTGGGCAGTGAAGCTGCAAGAATATGATTTCCAGATCAGGCATAGGCCGGGGAAGACGCTGCAGCACGTCGACGGTCTCTCTCGCAACCCACCACCGCTGGAATCAGGACAGAGAACACAGGGGTCGGAAGGGACGGAGCTGGAGCCAGCACACACCTTGATCATGCTGGCGAGAGAAGCGGAAGAGGTCGGAGCCAAGGGGAGCAAGGGACCAGCCGACATCTGGCAGGACGAGAAGGCAATGCGGTGGGTGAAAGGAGAAACAGAGGAAGACGAGACAGTGTCAGAAAGAGTGCGGGCACGGGGGCACCACTACAGGTGGTATCAGCGGCAGCTGCAGATCAAGACAGAGGACGGGTGGAAGCTAGTGCCTGCACCCACGGACCGTGAAGCAGTGATCAAGGAGGTGCACACGAAGCTGGGACACTTCGGGCACGAGAGGACTGTACACCTGCTGAAGACAGGCTGGTGGTGGGAAGGGATGCGCAAGCAAGTGAAAGAGTGGGTGGAGGGGTGTGAGGCGTGTCAGAGGAGCAAGGCAAACTTAACGCAGGCCAAAGCAGAACTGCATTCACTGCCGATTTGCGGGTTGGGATTCCGATGGTCCTTGGACCTTGCAGGAGAGCTGCCGCTCAGCAGGAGCGGAAATCGGTACATCGTGTTCATGGTGGAGCATGCGAGCAAGTGGTTGGAGGTGAAAGCCATCCCCAGCAAGAGCGCGAGGCACATAGCAGCAGCCTTCAAGGCGCAGGTGGTGTGTCGCTTTGGAGCGTGCGGGGAGGTACTCACGGATCAGGGGACGGAGTTTCTGGGGGAATTTGAGAAGCTGCTGAAGGAATCCGGCATAGCGCACAGAAAAACCTCCCGCTACCACCCACAAAGCGACGGGCTGACCGAGCGAGCGGTGCAGACCTTCAAGTGGGGGCTGCGGGCCTATGGGGAGCAGAGGAAGAGGGACTGGGATGAGGAGCTGGATTGGATAGCCGCAGGGTACAGGTTCGGGAAGCAGGCAGCACTCAAGGACCACTCCCCGTACAGCCTCCTTTACGGAAGAGAGCCAATCCTGCCAGTGGAGGCACCACGGGTACTGACAGACACGGTGACAGCAGGCACGATCAAGAACTGGGTGGCCCTGTCCGAGGTGAGAGCGCGCTACATGCGCTACATGCTGCCAGCGGCACTGGAGAACCTGCACACTGCACAGCTGAGGGACGCAAGGAGGTACGAACAGAGGCAGCGCAAGGGAGAGGGGCGAGTGGCAAGAGGCGTCTGTGAAGGGCAGGAGGTGTACCTCAAGAGGGCAAAGCAAGACAACCTGGATGTGGGGCTGGGTACGGTCCGCTGGAAGGTCAAGGAGGTGCGCCCTTCAGGGGTGCTGGTCCTGGAGAATGACACGGGGGCGCAAGTGAAGGAGCATCAAACGAACACTGCCGTGATCAGAGGCAGCGGGCCTCAGCGCAACGGTCCTGTGACCCGCGCTCAAGCTGCGCGAGCACGGGCACAGGAGGGGGCAGAGAGTGGCTGAGGCAGCAGAAGGAACGAAGGAGAGGCAGAGCAGGAGAATCAAGGCAGAGAAGAGCATAGCGGTAACTCCGACAGCTGTCACCGAATATGTACGTTTGTGCATATAAGGTGCCAGTATGATTGTGGTGTAGAAAGGGTGTAGTAATGTGTTGTATTTGTTGTATGCAGGCTCAAGGATGGGTAGGTGGGAGGCTGGGAAATTGACGCGAAGTTGGTAGGAGAACACCAGGGGGTGAAATCCTCGCGACCAATGGGAACAAACCCAACCCAGGCTCAAGCCGCACATTGAGAAATGCACGGCTCGAGCCAGGGACAGGTAAGTTCACTCTCACACACACACACAATGCTTTCTGTTTGTTATCCTTTCGTATAGTGGACAGTTGTTACCTCAGATTTGCCTACAGGTGGCACACCACTCAGAGAGGACCTTTGAGGTGAGAGTTACCATTCTTTCAATGAGAGTGGCTGAGGCAGCAGAAGGAACGAAGGAGAGGCAGAGCAGGAGAATCAAGGCAGAGAAGAGCATAGCGGTAACTCCGACACGGCGGCTGCCAGCATGCTGCTCCCCTCTCCGCCCTTCCCCCCTCCCCCCTCCCCGCCTCCGCGGTTCCCCCAATCCGCACCCGCACCGTCACCCATCCGCACTGCGTCACGCGCTCGTCTCCCCCCCCGCGCATCACAGGCAGCTCCGCGCATTGCCACTCCCCCGGTCGGCGGAGCGCCGCGTCCAGCGCCACCGTGGCCGCGCCGAGCGACTTTCGCAGCGAGGCGGAGCTGAAGAGCTCCACGCGCACTTGCGCGCGCGCGTGGGGGGGAAGCGCCGCGGGGGGGAAGGATGCAGCTGCGGAGGAGGCGGAGGAGAGTAACGTCGCGGCAGTGGATGATATGTAATCGGCGGAAGCGGAGGACAAGGGAGAAGCGGGAAAGGGGGACTCGGAAGGGAGGGAAGAGGCGGGCTGCTGCGAAGACGAATCTAAGTGGGGAAGCAGGTCATCCGCTGCGAATTCCGCCGTGAATTGCGGCCCGCCGCCCCAGGTAGGGTTTCGCCCGCCGTTGACGGCAGGCGGCAAGGCTTTCCAGCAGGAGGGGCGGCCGGGGAGGGAGACGAGCGCGCAGGGGCTCATGCGCGCGAAGGGGGGCTTCCGCTCGTTGCGGAGGCCGTGCGCAGATACTACCTCCACGCACACTCGCGCATTGTGGCCGGCTGGCTCTGGCGGGATGAGCTCGCTCATATTTCGAAGTTCGTGAAAGAGAGGGCGAGGGGACTTTTCTAATACACACTTGGATTCTAAGTTGTGTTACAGTGCAAGGGGAAAAACCGATACGTTTGACTAATAGTGTGAAGGGTAAGAATAGTAGGCATTGAAAGGAATGGTTTTAGACCCTCTTGAGATAGCTTTCTAGAAAGAGAACAGAGGGCGTGAGGGTTGGGGGGGCCGAAGGTTGTGCTGTGAGGTGGTGGGCAGGGCTGCTGGTCGCTGGGGTTCCCAGGGGTCCTTGGGGGTCGCTGGGGGTCTTGGGGGTCCTAGGGGGCGAGGGTGAGGTCACGCGGAAAGCAACACCCTTCAACACCTCATTAGTAACTTCCCCCTTATGCAGAATACACTAGAATAGCTTACTTTTTGATACGACAATTCATAGCACTAACAAGTTTCTTCCACGAAATGTCCCACCATTTTTTTGATCACAACCATCACAGTGAAAAGCGCAGTTCGTACTTCTTACCAGCCATATGTACAAAATCACAGTACACTCGCTACACCGGAGACACTAAAGCTACACATTTATCAGATCAAAAGCCGAAGTCACCAAACCCTCCAAAATCGAATCCTCCAGCATCTCCCAACCCATCCCCAATCGAATCCCCAATGGCATCCCCCACCAACAGCCCACCCAGGGCTCCCAGCGCCAACCCAGCACCCAGCCCCGCCCTGCCTGGCGCCCTCCTCTTCTGCCCGTGCTTGCTGTGCTTGTACACCGTCACTGGAGGTGCTTGTGACGAGGGGTACCATGGTGCAGGGGGATTGGACGGTCCTGCATAGGCTGTGTACGGGTGAGTGCTGCTGGTTGGTTGAGCGTATGGTCCCGAAGGATAGTTGGGAGGGTAGTGAGGTGGCACAGTGTGACTATAAGGGGGTGCGGCAGGGTAACCAGTAACAGGCGGTGGTGGTGGAGGTGTTAAAGGCGATGGAGATGGGGTGATTGCTGAGCCAGCTGTCACTACACCTGCTGCAGCTGCTACCCCCTCTCTTCTCACACCGTCCACGTCAGCACCATCCACGTCAGCATCGCACTCCCTACCTGTTTGGGTGTAGAACGATGGGATGGGTGCAAGCGGGGGCTGCCAGCATGCTGCTCCCCCCTCCGCCATCCCCCTCTCCCCCATCCCCGCCTCCGCAACTCCCCAAACCCTCACCCGCACCGTCACCCATCCGCTCTGCTTCGCGCGCTCGTCTCCCCCCTTGCACCTCGAGCGCATCACTGGCAGCTGCGCTAACTGCCACTCCCCCGGTCGGCGGAAGGCCGCGTCCAGCGCCACGGTGGCCGAGCCGAGCGACTTGCGCAGGGTAGCGGAGCTGAAGAGCTCCACGCGCACTTGCGCGCGCGCGTGGGGGGGAAGTGCCGCGGGGGGAAAGGATGCAGCTGCGGAGGAGGCGGGGGAGGGAAACGTCGAGGCGGTAGATTTATGATCGGCGGAAGCGGAGGAAATGGGAGAGGCGGGAAATGAAGATTCGGAAGGGAAGGCGGAGGCGGATGGCTGCTGCGGAGACGATTCTGAGCGGGGCAGAAGGTCATCCACCTCGAATTCCGCCGTAAATTGCGGCCCGCCGCCCCAGGTGGGATTTCGCCCGCCGTTGACGGCTGGCGGCAAGGCTTTCCAGCAGGAGGGGCGGCCGGGGAGGGAGACGAGCGCGCAGGGGCTCATGCGCGTGAAGGGGAGCTTCCGCTTGTTGCGGAGGCCGCGCGCCGACACTACCTCCACAGAGACTCGCGCGCTGTGGCCGGCTGGCTCTGGTGGGACGAGCTCGCTCATTTTTCCAAGTTCGTGAAAGGGATAACGAGATGACTTCCCTTGTACACAGTTGAATTCTGAGTTCTCAACTAGCAGTGACGAAGTACAGAGAGAAGAAAAAAAAAGATTGCTATGACTGTAGCGTGTAGGTTAACGTGAGTAGGCGTAGAAGAACGAACGGATGCTTAGGAGCTTTTAGAGGTAGCGCAACCAATAACAGAACGCGTAAAGCGGGACGGGGAAGGAGTTTAGAAGGCGTTGAGGTGGCGTGTGGGAAGAGAGGAATGCGAAGGTGAAGGAGGAATGTGTGGGAAGGAGGAAGGTCGAAGCTACTGCCACGCAAAATCCAGCTGCGCGGCAGGCCCGAAACTACGCAATAGTAGCTTCCCCTTTATTAGCCACTCTACCATAATGGTGCAAAGCACGTACACAAAAAGTACAAAAAAGTCATTCTCATGGAAGTCTGTCTAGTTTTGAAAGCGGTCGGATAAAAAACGATTATTTGAAAAATTTGGTGGCATTTTAATTCAACAAAAATCGAAATTGTTTGTAAATGATTTAAAAGTTGACATTCTTTGTTACGCATCATATATTCTTGCTATAAGTGGTTATACATGACGTACAATACACTTGGATTCAGAATAATGCCCCTTATATCAAAGAGTATCCCTATCTTTGGCGGAGATCGAAGACCACCTAGTCATTACGCTCCGCTTCTCAAGCTTCGCAACGCGCCTAGCCGTCATGGCATCCGCTGCTTTGCTCCAGTCATGCTCGTCCCTTCGCACTCCTTTTCTCCTAAAAAACAGTCAGAAATCTCTCAGCGCCGACATAAGACCAAGGTTGATACCTCGAGAAACCGTCAGGAGCAACCATCCAGGGGAGTTGCTTGTTGAGGGCCTAGCTCGTGCAGAGAGGGATTTACCGTGCAGATTAGTCCGCGGATCGCGCTCGTCCGTACGGTGCGCGGCTGCCGGCGAGGGCGAGAAGCCGAGCTCGTTCGCGAAGCAGTGGAGCCGCACGGGCGGCAGCAGCAGCAGCGAGAGCGCGATTTCCGGCGCTGCGCGACGGATTGCGGAGAAGGGCGGGCGGGGTGAGAGCAGGCCTTCGGGGGGGAAGAATAAGCGGGGCGGCGGTAAGCCTGCGCGCGGGAGGGCAAGCGGGGACGCGCAGCAGGCGGGGGAGAACGGGGATGGCGCAGGAGCGGAGGGGGAAGCGCGGGAGGGCGGCGGGAGCGGAAGGCGCGAGCGGCAGAAGCGCAGCCACGTCGTGCTGGAGCCCGCGGAATTTCCGGAGCCAATGAGTCGCGACCCGCACGTGGCGATTCTGGGCGGCGGCATGGCGGGGCTGATGTGCGCGCTGGGGCTGGCGGAGCGCGGCATCCGCAGCACCGTTTTTGATACTGTACGGGAGGGTTTTGCAGGGGGTTCAGTAGCGGTTCAGGAGGGGGTTTGTAGGGATTCAGGAGGGCTTAGCAGGGGCTGATGTGCGCGCTGGGGCCGGCGGAACGCGGTATCCGCAGCAACGTGCTCGACGCTGTAAGGGGGGGCCTTGCAGGGGGTTACTTGGAGCTTGGTGGAGGTTACTCGGGTTTTAGCAGGGGCTTATAAGGGGTTTAACCGAGCATTGTGATGTGTGTGGGAAGGGAGGCTCGGGACCGGCTGCAGGGGTCCACTCAAGTTCCAAAGGAATCGTGCTGAGGGAACAAGGGTGTGCGCATCCCGCCGCCATGCCCCCTGCCTCATCTGCTCTTCCCTTCTCTTCTCTCCTCTCCTCTACCCACCTCTGTACACCTCTCTCTTTCCACATCGACCCCATTCCACCCTCTCCTTTTTCACCCTCTCTCTCCTCTTCCTCTCGCGCATTTTCCCTCTCCTCGCCCTGTCTGCTCCCCTTGCGGCAGGGCAAGCACGGGCTGGGCGGGCGGATGGCCACTCGGGAGGTGGAAGTTGCTGGGAAGCTGCGCCTATTTGACCACGCTGCACAGTTCTTCACCGTCACAGATTCACGCTTCCAATCATACGTCGACAGGTGCGCAGATTCTGACCGTTCTGACATCCAGTCATTTGCTGACAGGTCAGCAGCCTTCAAAATCGGCAGATATGGTTTCGAGGTGGACGGATGGGCTGCTAGCAGTCTCGGGCTGGCAGTCTCGGGCTGGCAGTCTCGGGCTGAAGTGTTGTTCTCTGCTGCTGTGCACGTGCTGCGATGGCCCTGTTGTTGCTTTCCTGCATGTGATAGCTTCACCGCATCAATCACTCAACCTCACTCCACCTCACTCCACCCTACTCCACCTCACTCCACCGCTCTCCACCCCACTCCACCACGCACCACCAGGTGGCTGAAGGAAGGTGCCCTGCGGGTGTGGGAAGAGGGGCGCATAGGCACGCTGCAGGCAGGGGGGGCATTCTCGGAGCTCCCAACCCTTGGTGGTGGTGGCAGCAGTGGTGGTGGTGAAGAGGCGAGGAGGCTCATCAGCCCCTGTGGCATGAGGGCATTCTGCGAGCACGTGATTGCGGACAAGGTGCGTGCAACACAGCGCAGCACAGCACAGCTGCCGAGTGGTGGTGGTGGCAGCAGTGGTGGTGAAGAGGCGAGGAGGAGGCTTATGAGCCCCCGTGGCATGCGAGCGGTCTGCGAACACGTGATTGCGGACAAGGTGCATGCAAGGCAACCACCACCAGCCATGTCATTTTCATTACTTCCAGTCTTTGATTGCGGATGAAGGTGCGTGTGTGTGTGCAGCTGGCTGCATGATTTCCAGTTTCAACTTGCAGCTTTCAATATTGGCCTTTGGATAAGGGTTGTGTGACCGACGGCATGGTTTCAACTTTCAACCCTCAAGAGCAGAGACGGACAGGGAAATGAGTTCCCCCTCACGTCACCCTCACGTCACCCTCACGTCACCCTCACGTCACCCTCACGTCACCCTCACGTCACCCTCACGTCACCCTCACGTCACCCCCTCACGTCACACCCTCACGTCACCCCCTCACGTCACCCCCTCCCATCATCCTCTGACCACAGGTGAGGGAGGGCGTGGGGGGTGGAGCGCTTTTTGAGTCGACTCAAAGGCGTGGTTGGGGTGGAGCGGCCAGTGTGGGTAGGGAACAAGGGGGAGGCCTATCAAATTACCCTCCTTGCACTGTCAATCCAATCTCCTCCCCTCCCTCCCTCCCCCCTGACACCCCTCTTTTCACAGGTGAGGGAGGGCGTGGTGGGGGCGGAGCAGCCAGTGTGTGGATAGGGAAGATACGGGCGAGGCATAGCGGATCACCATCCTCACATCACATCGTATCCATCCCCTCTCCCCCCGTCATCTTCCCAACCCCCTCCCCACGCATGACGCACTTTACCACAGGTGAGGGAGGGCGTGGTGGGGGTGGAGCGGTCGGTGTGGGTAGGGAAGATGAGGGCTCATTTGACCACCGTCCTCGCTCTATGTTTATTATCCCCCCCAACCAACCACCCTCCCTTGCCCATGACCCCCTCCGCGCCCGCCATTCCCTGCCCACAGGTGAGGGAGGGCGTGGTGGGGGTGGAGCGGCCGGTGTGGATAGGGAAGATGAGGGCGAGGGGGGGCAAGTGGGTGCTGGAGGAGACGGGGCGCAAGGCAGGGGAGTTTGACTTCGTGGTCATTGCACACAACGGTGGGTGAAATGGTGGGTGGGTGGATGGGTGGGTGGGCGGATGAATGGGTGAATGGGTGGATGGATGTGTCTGTTTTTTCTGGCAGTTACTTGTGATGTTACGGCAATGGGGGTGCGTTTGATACGAGCCTGTGATGGTGCGTCAATACTTGCGTGCTTGTCATTCACACAGAACAGAAGAGGAGCGTGCGTCTTGCAGTGCTTGCTGCTATGCCATGACATTCCATGCCATGCCATGCCATGCCATGCCATGCTCTCTTATGACTTCTCTCTCTGTCCACTGCTCCTCATCGCTCTTCCGCTCTTTTGAGGCCCTCAGAATTCCTCGTTGCTTTTCCCCTCATCGCATCGCATCGCATCCTTCCAGGAAAGTGCGCGAACCGTCTTCTCGCTCCCGCAGGCATCCCAAAGATTGCGAGACAGATGAAGGTAGGTGCAATTGCAGGGGAGTGGGAGCGCGGCGTCGTGGTGTGAAGGGCAGTGGTGAAGCACGGCCAGTAAGAAGGAGGTGGTTTAATGACAACTGCCGGTCATAAGCTGGCTGGACAGCTGGAAGGGGTGTGTCACGTGACAGCTGGAAGGGGTGTGTCACGTGACAGCTGGAAGGGGTGTGTCACGTGAGAGCTGGAAGGGGTGTGTCACGTGAGAGCTGGAAGGGGTGTGTCACGTGACAGCTGGAAGGGGTGTGTCACGTGAGAGCTGGAAGGGGTGTGTCACGTGACAGCTGGAAGGAGTGTGTCACGTGACAGCTGGAAGGGGTGTGTCACATGAGAGCTGGAAGGGGTGTGTCACGTGAGAGCTGGAAGGGGTGTGTCACGTGACAGCTGGAAGGGGTGTGTCACGTGAGAGCTGGAAGGGGTGTGTCACGTGACAGCTGGAAGGGGTGTGTCACGTGAGAGCTGGAAGGGGTGTGTCACGTGACAGCTGGAAGGGGTGTGTCACGTGACAGCTGGAAGGGGTGTGTCACGTGACAGCTGGAAGGGGTGTGTCACGTGACAGCTGGAAGGGGTGTGTCACGTGACAGCTGGAAGGGGTGTGTCACGTGACAGCTGGAAGGGGTGTGTCACGTGACAGCTGGATTGGACATGGCAGTACAAGCAAAATGGAGAACGCACAAGCGCATCACACAAGGAGGAGTCCGTTTGCCATGTGTAATCCCGTTTTGGCCCTCCACCGAATCGGTTCCTCCCTCTCATGGAGGGCCAAAACGGGATCCCCTGCCTGTTTTCTCCATACCCCATGCCTTTCTCTCTCCCATCTGCCTCCTCCTCTTTCTACCTCTTTCACTACTCCCTCTGCCCGCACCTCTCCGCTTCTTCCCCGCTCTTCCCCCCCTCACTTCATCTCACAGCGTCTTGAGTTGAGCTCCATTTGGGCGTCGCTGCGCTCAGAGGTGGCTTTTGGGTCCCCTCTCTCCCCCCAAAACTCTTCTATTGCCCACTCTCCCCCTCCCTCCACACCCCCCCACCCCCCCTTTCCCCACCCCTCACTCCCAATCCACCCCGCGGCGCCTTGAGCCGAGCCGAGTTCCATCCGGGCGTCACACATCGCCTTTGAGACGCCTACCATACCACCTCTTTCCCTTCTGCTATCTCACAACACCCACCCTCACCCCACCCGCCCCCCCTCACCGTCCCTTCCACACCCTTCCCCCCAATCCATCCCCCAGCGCCTTGAGCTGAGCTCTATCTGAGCGCCCTTCATTGCTCCCTCAGAGTCGGCTTTTGGTCGACTCACAAGTCCCTTACGTCTCAACCCCACCCTCCCTGCTCCCCCCAACCACCCCCCCAAAACCCATCTCCCAGCACCTTGACCTGAGATCCATGTGTTCGTCCCTCATTGCATTCGAGACCACCTACCTCCTTTCCCCCTTGTGATATCTCCCAACCCTGTGCCTTCCTCTCCAACCCCCTCCCCTCTTCACCAACTCACAGCGCCTCGAGCTGAGCTCAATCTTGCCGTCCCTCATCGCCTTCAAGACGCCTTCCTCTCCCTTTCTGCTAACTTTCACCTCCCACCCCCCCTCTCTCCCCACTCCCCTTCCCCCCCCCTCTCCCCCGTCCTTTCCAACCCCCCTCCTCCTTACCCATCCCCCAGCGCCTCGAGCTGAGCTCCATCTGGGCGTCGATCATCGCATTCGAGAAGCCTCTGCTGGCCAATGGCAGCGCGACACGTGGGCACTTCGATGCCGCCTTCGTGGAGGGCGTTCCAGCTGTCTCGTGGATGTGCAACAACACCGCCAAGCTGGGGGATTTGGGGGGCGCGGGGAGAGGGGACGGCGGGGAGGGATCGGGTGCGGTGCGGAGGGGTGAGGGCATGGAGTGCTGGACGGTGTTCAGCAGTGCGGCGTATGGCAAGCGCAACAAAGTGCCCCAGGTGGGTGGGAGGGACAGTTTTGAGAGGATTAAGGTCTCATAAATAGTATAGTATGTAAGCCGTTCTTGCATTGGGAGCATCACATAGTAAAACTCTAGTGAAATACCTGGGTGCCGTGGCAGTTCATATCCATGACTTTCGAGTTGACTCTAAATTGACCGTTACTCTGTCACTCCATCTCCACCCTTCCCGTGATCACTCCATGCATGCCCACCCCTCGTTACTTTCACAACCAGGAGAACATCCCTTTGGTGAGGGCAGCGAGGGTGAAGGAAGCAGGAGATGCTGGAGAGCGTGTCGTGCTTTTGAGTCGACTCAAAAGGAGAGTGTGTCGTGGTTTTGAGTCGACTCAAAAGGAGAGCGTGTCGTGGTTTTGAGTCGACTCAAAAGGAGAGCGTGTCGTGATTTTGAGTCGACTCAAAAGGAGAGCGTGTCGTGCTTTTGAGTCGACTCAAAAGGAGAGCGTGTCGTGGCAGGGCAGGGCAGCAGCGCTCTCGCAAAACATGGACGCCTGGATTCCGTCACAACCCTTAGCAGCTGTCACTCCATTCACATATGTTTTTTGAGAATTCTCAAAAAACAGACGCCTGGATTCCATCACAACCCTTAGCAGCTGTCACTCCATTCACATTCCTCATAACTTCTCCTCGTTCCTTCCACACAACCAGGAGAGAACATCCCTCCTCTGGCCAGGGCTGCACGGGTGAAGGAGGAGATGCTGGAGGGCGTGGCAGCGGCACTAGGCCGAGCTCAGAACATCTGAATGCCGCTAGAATACACAATACCAAGATTCATAAAGTTACCCTAGCAACCATGCCCATGCCCATGTCCACCCTCGTTGATTGCCCTCCTTCCCCACCCCTCGCTACTGTCACAATCAGGAGAACATCCCTCTGGCGAGGGCAGCGCGGGTGAAGGAGGAGATGCTGGAAGGTGTGGCAGTGGCGCTAGGCGGCCCAATTGTTCATATCAAGCACACCTGGGTTCCGTTTATATCCAAACCCTCTTCCCAACCCCTCGCGCTCTTTCCCAACCCCTCGCTACTGTCACAATCAGGAGAACATCCCGCTAGCGAGGGCAGCGCGGGTGAAGGAGGAGATGCTGGAGGGTGTGGCAGCAGCACTCGGGCGACCCAAGGACTCCCTGCCTGCTGTTCTCTTCCACAAGATCCAACTCTGGTGGGTGTGCTGTGTGTGCTGCTCTCACCATATGATGTGCTATCCCTTACTGTGCTGTTCTCACGAGCTGAGGTGACTGTTGAGCCGACTCAAACGTCGCCGTGCTAGGCCGACCCAAGGACTCGCTGCCTGCTGTTCTCTTCCACAAGATCCAGCTCTGGTGGGTGTGCTGTGTGCTCATCTCACGTGCTCGTGGGTGCTTTCATGTGCTCTGCTCACACGTGCTGTGATGCTCACACGTGCTGTGATGCCCACACGTGCTGTGATACCCACACGTGCTGTGATGCCCACACGTGCTGTGATACCCACACGTGCTGTGATGCCCACACGTGCTGTGATACCCACACGTGCTGTGATGCCCACACGTGCTGTGATACCCACACGTGCTGTGATGCCCACACGTGCTGTGATACCCACACGTGCTGTGATGCCCACACGTGCTGTGATGCCCACACGTGCTGTGATGCTCACACGTGCTGTGATGCCCACCCACACGTGCTGAGGTGACTGTTGAGCCGCCTCATTAGGGCGAATCAAGGACTCGTTGCCTCCCATGCTCTTCCACATGGTCCAACTCTGGAGGGTGTGCTGTGCTCAGTGTTACCTGGGTGCTGGGGTGGGTGGTGTGGTGGGTGCTGTGTTGGGTGTCCCCAATATGTTTGCTCCCGATTCCCATCCCATCCCATCCCATCCCATCCCATCCCATCCCATCCCACCCCATCCCATCCCATCCCATCCCATCCCATCCCATCCCATCCCATCCTATTCCACCTCTCCCCTCCTCACTTCAATCTCCGCCCTTCAGGGGAGTGGCAATCCCTCGAAACGCCCCGTGCACAGCAGCAGGGGGCAGTGTGGTGGAGAGCATAATGGATGCCCTGCGTGTGGGGCTGTGCTGACTGCCCCTTTGCCTTGCACTGCAACCCATTGCAACTCATCCCCAGCCCATCCCATCCCATCCCGTCTGACCCCACTTCAATCTCCGCCCTCCAGGGGTGCGACTCTCCCTCTGAACGCGCCAACAACAGCAGCAGGGAGCGGCGTGGAGTGCATAATGGATGCCTCCACGCAGGTGGGGCTGTGCTGACTGGCTGCTCGCCTTGTGTTGCACGCATGCTCTTTCGACCAATCCCCACCCCATCTCACCCCACTCCATCCCACCCCATACAGGGGGGCGGCGCTGCCGCTGAACGCGCCAACAACAGCAGCAGGCGGCGGAGTGGAGTGCATAATGGACGCCTCTACTCGTGTGGGGCTGTGTGGCGACTGGCTGCTCGTCTTGCGCTGCACGCATGCTCGTTCAACCAATCCCCACCCCATCTCACCCCACTCCATCCCACCCCATACAGGGGAGCGGCACTGCCTCTGAACGCCCCGACAACAGCAGCAGGCGGCGGTGTGGAGTGCATAATGGACGCCTCTACTCGCGTGGGGCTGTGTGGCGACTGGCTGCTCGCCCCCTCCGTGCAGGCTGCTGCCATCAGCGGGCTCGCCATGGCTGATAAGGTGCTGTTGGGGGGAGGGGGGGCGGTGCAGGGCTGTTCCTGCTGTGGCCTGTAAGGTGTTAGGGGTGGGGTTGGTCCTCTGCTTGCGCGTGGGGTTGGTCCTCTGCTTGCGCGTGGGGTTGGTCCTCTGCTTGCGCGTGGGGTTGGTCCTCTGCTTGCGCGTGGGGTTGGTCCTCTGCTTGCGGGGGGAGGGGGGGAGGGAGGGGGGAGGGGAGGGGTCCTGGTCGTGCTGTGGCGTGTAAGGTGCTGTGCTACTAGGGGGGGCTTGTCCTCTCTGCTCGCTGGTGCGGCTGTGTGGCGACGGATACTCGCCCCTCCATGCAGGCTGCTGCTGACATTGGGCTCGCCCTGGCCGATTAGGTGAGGGGGGGGGGGGGGAGACAGGGGAAGGGCTGGTCCTGCTGAGGCTGATGAGGTGCTGTGGAAGGGGATGGGGGCTGGTCCTGTGGAAGGGGCAGTTCTGTGGAAGGGGCAGTTCTGTGGTCGGATAGTCCCATGGTGAGAAGAGCAAGTGTGAGCAAGTGTGAGAAGAGCAAGTGTGAGCAAGTGTGAGAAGAGCAAGTGTGAGCAAGTGTGAGAAGAGCAAGTGTGAGAAGAGCAAGTGTGAGCAAGTGTGAGAAGAGCAAGTGTGAGCAAGTGTGAACAAGTGTGAGAAGAGCAAGTGTGAGCAAGTGTGAGAAGAGCAATGTCGGAGAACCACCTCATCCTTGCAACCTGCTCTTCCTCTTGTCACTCCCTTGCCTTCCTTCTCCTTACGTGGTTGAAAGAGTTTCCTCCCTCACCCCGTAGGTCCTCCCATAGTGGAGTGCCACCGGATGCTAGATCTGAGGTAACAGCTTTCCACTAATATGAGAGAATAACAGGAGAAAAGCAACAAGAGGGTGTTTGGTACTGAATTTACCTGAACCTGGCTCAGTCGCACACTTCTCGATGTGCGCCTCGAGCCAGGCCCAGTTGCTTCAGATTGGCTCGTTAGATTCCCACCCCTCGATGTTTCCTCTAACCCTTCCCAACAACTTCGCCTCAACCCCCCATACTCCCCAGCAACTCACCCACAAATTGTAATCATACAAAGACTACACCTGAACCTACACTTGCATCAACACCCGCGCACCAACTGTTATCGCATATGCACGAAGTGCATATTCGGTGACAGCAAGTGTGAGAAGAGCAAGTGTGAGCAAGTGTGAGAAGAGCAAGTGTGAGCAAGTGTGAGAAGAGCAAGGGTGAGCAAGTGTGAGAAGAGCAAGGTTAGCAAGTGTGCGAAGAGCAAGTGTGAGAAGAGCAAGTGTGAGAAGAGCAAGTGTGAGCAAGTGTGAGAAGAGCAAGTGTGAGCAAGTGTGAGAAGAGCAAGTGTGAGCAAGTGTGAGAAGAGCAAGTGTGAGCAAGTGTGAGAAGAGCAAGTGTGAGCAAGTGTGCGAAGAGCAAGTGTGAGCAAGTGTGAGAAGAGCAAGTGTGAGCAAGTGTGAGAAGAGCAAGTGTGAGCAAGTGTGAGAAGAGCAAGTGTGAGCAAGTGTGAGAAGCGCAAGTGTGAGAAGGGCAAGTGTGATATGAAGTGAAAAGAGCAAGGGTGAGAAGAGCAATGTTGATTCATATCACACTTGCTCTTCTCACCCTTGACCTCACGTGCTTCCCCTAGTTGTTGCCACCCACTCATCACATCCCCTAGTTGTTGCCACCCACTCATCACATCCCCTAGTTGTTGCCACCCACTCATCACATCCCCTAACCCATGCATCCCCTCTTCCCACTCATTGCCATCACTCCCACAGCTCTCTTGGCTTGGCGCCCTTGGCTTTGCCCCCATGGCAGATCGCAGCTTTTCACGAGGATGCAGTGGCCGGCGACCATTCTTGAGACGTCTCAAAGCGAACCTCTTCATGCCTTCTTCCCTCTTGCTGCCACCGCTCCCATGGCAGATCGCATCGTTCCACGAGGATGAAGCGGCCAGCGATCCATCGCTCTTCTCGGTGGGCCTTGATGCGTCCTTTGCAGCGGTGCCCGACACGCATGACATCGGCGCTTTCCCCGATGCCACGCCTGCTGCTGCTGACTCGAATGGCAGCACACAAGGTGTTGCGGCACATGGGGTTCGAGTGGCTGCATGAGGGGAGGTGTGTTGAGATTTCTGCCAAACGACCTACTTTTTTTAGAATCATGGCTTGTGGGTTGCACATGGCAGTACACCTAGGGGTTGCTTTGCTTGCCCCGGGACCAGGACCCAGCACATCAGAACAGCAACACCAGTCTATCATACTTCATTGAAGTGGTGTACATGTGGATTAAAACTTAAGATTTCCTGAAACAACCGAACTGCTTAAAAATGTTGGAAACAAGTAACTTAAGCGCCTCTGTCGTGTCGAAGCACTAAGTTATAAGCGAAGCAAAACACAGCGAAGCATCGGCGAGTCAACCCTCAGAGGTTGAACTGCTGGAGGTTACGCGAAAGTCAAAGGTCAGCAACCTTTGACCTGACAAGTACAGCGCGACAGCAAGGACAAACAACTGACTCGTTATTGAGCAGTTGCCCGAGTCGTCACTATATCGAACCGCAACAGCAACAGCAAAACAGTTATTAGTTATAACCCTTCATATTCCCTTGTGCTCTTATAAAAGCTTGTATCTCTTTGTCTTAATCAATCGACTTTGCCCTCACATACCAGCGCAAGGTGGTTCACAAACCTTTCATTAAACGCTTCCGCTATTACATTGTCCTACTCAGAGTTTAGTCCTGCAAAGATCCTAAGGGCTTTCTCAGCCCAACATGGTATGAGAGCTATCAAGACAAATTCAACTACAATCAAGACACCTACAACATCACAAGGCATGGAAACGCAGAAGGAGAGAAGCTCCTCTAACGGCTCTCCCGGTACTACTCCTACTCCACCTCCTGCCTTTGGCCTACAGACAGAGGAGGGCACAGCAACAAGACCGGCAGCTGGGTCTACCGAAACTCCCGCAAATCAAGCCGCGGGCTTCGACCCAGACATGATGGAGAAATTCTTCTCCTTCATGTCCTTCTACGAACAACACCAGCAAGGGGCACCTGCGCAATCAAACAACAGCAACAACAACATCGCAACACCGATGAGCCTCGACGGTTCATCCTACGCACGAGGAAATCAGCAACAACAACCTACCTTCGCCCCGTACGAACCTCAGCGCGGTTCCGTCAGCTTCATGCCGCGCCAGCAGCCTTCACCTGAGCAAGAGAAGACATTAGATGCACTTCAAGTTCAGTCGCAGTTTGCGCACGTCTTAAAACTGCAAACGTCAAGACCTTCGACGGAAAGGACTTCTTTACCTGGTCATTTGAATTCGAGCTGATGATAGAAGGCGCGCAGATTCTTGGCTTCTTCGACGGGTCCCTGCCATATCCAACGCACGGGGCGCAATACGACAAGCAGCAGTACACATATCAATCCATGATGGCGTATACAATCCTAGTGCGCAACGTCACACCGAACCAGCAGCAGAATATCCGGTCTTACCGAGGATACGGGAACTCCGCCGAGCTCGCGTACAATCACCTGAAGAACCTGTATCAGGCAACAGACAGCGTCAATCAGAGTCGGTTAATGGCACAACTGACAACAGTGGAAATGAAACCGGGCGAAATAGGAATGGCGTATATCAGCCGATGTCGCGAATTGCGCGGCAAACTCCTTCGATGCGGAGGGTCGATATCAGAAGACGCCTTCGTCACAGTCGTCATTGGCGGTCTTGGTCCTCATTGGCGCTCCACCCGCGCCATACTCCGAGCTCACGGGAAGATCTCCGAAGCAGCACTATGCACCAAAATTCACGCTGAACAGTAAGACATGGACCTGCAAGAGGAGCGGCACAAGAGGAAAACGTCAGTACCTGAATTCGCGTTCCACACTCAACGGCGCTACAACAACAACAACAACCGACATCAACCCAAACCTGTACCTCCATTTTGTCATCTCTACAAGACTTCAGGGCACCCTCGCACACACTTCCCGAATCGACAGCAGTCAACACCACCGCAACGCCAGCTTCGTCCTTCAAGTAGTCAAGTGGCGTCCACACAAGCGCACCCCACGAGTCAACTACAGTCCTCAACGACATCGCCAACGCAATCTGCACAAGGAACAAGAAACATTGTCAGTTGCATGGCAAGACTGACTGACTCGTGCATCACCGAGTCACCACCACACTTCTCACGGGAAGAACAACTCGACAACAGCACCCCTCGCCGCCGGTCACTTCAACCAAACCCGACGTATGCAGCCATCGCTCAAAGCGAGCCGTCCGGGAAAGATACATGTTTCTTGGACAGTTGCTGCGGACAGCGCATGTGCTCTTCAGGACGCTTCGTTCAACGCGAACACCAACTTCAATGCGAAGTCGTCATCACCGTCGCCAACAACCAGAACCTGCGCACACAACGACAAGGCGTGGTGCAACTTCAGTCACGAGAGACAAACGTCATATTGCAGATGTCAAAAGTGTTAATTGCGGAGGGACTCGGCTACAACTTACTGAGTGTCAGTCAGCTAATGGCGAAAGGCATCCACCTCGAAGCAGACAGCATAAAACAGGAGTTCAAGCTGTATCACGGGAGAGGAGGCCTCTATATCAGCAAGGCCGTACTGAAGAACATGTTTGTTCTCGACTTCGTTCCAGATCTAGGCACCGCCGACAGCAACGGAATTGTCACCTTCACCTCCTGGACACACCCACCGGATCTTGATCCTGACTTCAGCCCCGAAGGATTTTGGTACTCGCACACCATTCCTGAGGCAGAACGAACAAGAGCATTAGCAACAATTCAATCAGCAGCAGCAGAGACAACATCGGCAGCAATAGAGACAACATCGGCAGCAGCAGAGACAGCATCAGTACCAATCGCGGGTCCTTCAACTGCACCAGTTCCAATCGACGACGACACTCCACCGAATCCTGCGCAGCAACGGAACCCAACACCACGAGAAGTACATCGAAGCGCAAACTTCACCGCAAGCTTCTACTCCAACTCCGAGATGTACCGTCACTCACCCAGACATCGAGCTGGCGAAGACATCTGGCACGCACGAATGGGACATCCAAGCAACACAGTGTTAAATAACACAATCAGAGCAGGAGTGCTCGACAAATACTCACTGCTCCTAATCGACAGAAGCGAACTTCGACGAGCTCGCGGAACGTGCTTTACCTGCCCTGAGGCTGACTTACCACATCGGCCGTTCGCTTCTCACCACAACCCCAGCGCACCAGCTTACGCACCACTCAAGAAAGTATACAGCGACATCCTGTACAACTACGAACCTGGACAAGGAGCATACAGCTACACCATCACGTTCATCGATGCCGCCACACGTTACGTTTGGCACCTCAACCTTCCGAGCAAGGACATGGCTTTCGAGGCTTTCGTCGCTTGGCTCCCAGTAGCAGAACGAGAATCAGACGTGAAGCTGAAAGGCTTCCAGACAGACAGAGGAGGAGAGTACACCTCACAAAGATTCAAGCAGTACTTGGCAGAAAGAGGGATCAAGAGGCTCATCTCCCTTCCCTACGCTCACCAGCAGCAAGGCGTAGCAGAAAGGATGAACATGACTCTCCAGAACACCATGCGCAAGCTGCTACATGGCATGCGGCTACCCAACCACCAATGGCCCGAAGCAATGGACCACGCTGTCATGCTGCACAACTTGCTCTCGTCATCATCGCTCCCGAACAACGTATCACCGCACCTGCTGTGGACATGAAAACAGGGCAGCACAAAAATGTTAAGAGTTTTCGGATGCATGGTACAGTACCGATCCCCAGCTGCACGAGCCGACCGATTCTCCCAACGCGCACAGTGGGGACTACACCTGGGCATCGAAAGAAATTACAACGCGTGGAAGATTTTTTACGTCCACTCAAAGGAAACAGTAGCAGCACGTGATGTCATTTTCTACGAGCGACTCACCCTTCCGACATACCTTGCCAACCTGGAAGAGGACCGGGACCCCACAGGCGGTTTTCGTGGTGACCGAGCCTTCGCCTCGGCAGTAGACGAAGCTGACTGGGACGAGCAGAACGTGGATGAAGCCTCGGAGGAAGCCGGACCTCTCCCTTACTGCTCCGTCGACGTCCCAATGGATGACGAAAATCCTCGCGAAAGCGCCAACGCCGAAGTATTTTACCACTTCGCCGACAACGGTTACGTTACACCTGCAAGAGTCAACACCAACGAAGCCGAACGCATAGGGCCCAACTTCATACCTGACCTAGAGGCAGGTGACGAAGCAGCTTATCCTGAGGACACAACACTCCCTCGCTACACACATAGTGGTCTCCGGATACTCGGCCTCGTCACCGCGGTCCACGGCACGGAGATTCCTAAGGAGCCTGCCACAGTTCAGCAGGCTCTAGGGGGGGAGCATAGGGAAAAATGGCGCGAAGCCATGGACAAGGAGCTGAAAGCACTGGAAGAACGGAACACCTGGAAAGTCGTCCCCATCGGTGTGGCACGCAACAAAACGGTACTCACCGAAAAATGGGTCTTCCTGTCAGAACTTATATTTGTAACTGCCTGTAGCTGTAGTTAGTGTAGTTATTATAAACTTTGTTTGGTGGTGCACCTTATTTGTTTCCTTTGCTATATGTTCTTCGAAACCTATACTGAAACCATCCTTTCCAACTTTCTCGACTCTCACCCTAGGCACAAACTACTCGACATCCTAGTTGGGCCTAGGCTCCTAAGCCTAGGCCCTAGTTAAACTTGATCCTTCTCGTTTCAGTTTCGATACTTCCGTGTGAAGACAAAGGCAGACGGTACCATTGGCAAGTTTAAGGCGCGCTGGGTCGTGCGCGGTTTCGACCAAGAGCACGGATGTGATTTCACTAAGACGTTCGCCCCGGTCAGTCGACACACTTCACTTCGAATTCTTCTCGCGATCGCCGCCATGAAGAAGAAGAAACTGCGGCAAATTGACGTCGCCAACGCATTTCTCTACGCGCCTGCTGACGCCGAAATCTTCGTCGAACTTCCACACGGCTCCAACGGAGAGCCCAACCAAGTTTGTCAGCTGCTGAAGTCCCTGTACGGAATCAAACAGGCCCCAAGACTATGGCAGCAGTATCTACACGCTCGACT